ATATAATAATTATAATTATTATATATTTATTTTCTCTCAACGTACAATGCAATGAAATGCTTACTGACTAGTGACTTTAATATTGAAATTATTTGTGAGAGACTGGTGCCTGAGATGGGCTTGAAAATGTTTGTATTACAGCTCGCCAGGTCCCCATTCCGCGTAATGTACTAGAATAGACGTATTAAGCGTGCATGCTCCAACGTCGACCTCATCATCACTTTCCATCAGATGAGATGGAGATCAAATGCGCACTCAATATTTAAAAAAAAAAATTGTTTACGCTTGTCGAGTTCCTATATTTTCGCGATTGTTACACATAAGAAATGAAACAATTGTTTTTCGGTTCCAAATCGCGTACCTGTTTTTTCAAAGAAACCAATTTCGGGCCCTTTACATGTCCCACAGGCAGTCAGGCAGGCGTGATCATGGGATCTGTAAAGGGCTCAAAACGTTGGTTTGTTAGAAAAAAAAACAAGTATTCGCGATTTAGATCCGAAAAAATAGCTTCGTTTTAATACCTAGGAGGTCAAGCGTATAAAAGTGAATTAAAGTATTTATCTGATTTTGATCGACTACTTCTACAGTTTACTTAATTAATTTACTTCAGTTTTTGGTAAATGACAATGAATATTAAGTTGCAGCTAAGAAAAGTTAACAAAATTAAATAAATTCGTACGTGTTATTAGGTAAAAGAGACGTCGTGTATGTGTAATATACATATATTGTATGTATTATGTAGTTGAGTGGGTATGTGAGTGTGTATAAATATTAATTATGTGAGTGTACTCAAGTTTGGCAAGTAATAATGAAACGACTTTAGAAATACTAGCTACTATACCAGTTTTGTAGAGGCTAGTGACATGAAACGTCATAGAACATTTGACAAATTAACGAAAATAGTAAAGATTTTATACACTTTACAACACAGCGACTCACTTGCGCCGTTAACTAAGAAAAACGAAGAAATCTTTAAAAATGTTGATATATTTTCGTGTAAGATTTATAAGAAATCTAAATGAGCAAAACGATGTAAAATACAAATTAACATCCTATGTAACTACTTTTACGATAAGTAAATGTTGCATGATATGTACTCCGATGCAATAGACATATTTAATACATAGAATTTGAATTGGTAAATATGGACAAGGTACGTAGACAATTACTAAACTAATTACTGAGCAAAACACATTACAAATATTACATAAGGCGATTGTGCTACTCACCTAATGGTCAATAAAATAAGAAAGTTACCTACAACCCTATAATAAATTATTTTGATACGGTTACCGCGAAAACAAAACAAACTTGCTCGGAGGCGATCGTTTTCTCTTCATGCAATATTCAAAACTTTAGCAAATAGACTTGAGCAATTTATGAATTAACGAACACTGTTTTAAATATTTCAAACGTAGGAATATTGCTAAAAAGTTACCAATTGGGATTATTTTTCAGGCTATCACGTGGAATTTGGAGTCTAGGATGCGTGCCTACGAATCACACAAGCGTTTCGGTGGCAAGGCAAAGCGCGACTGACTATTTTGACCGTGCGTACTTTCTCACGCTACAGCGCCACATGAAAATCTGAGTCTGAAAGAAAGTATTGAATGCTGTACTAGTCTACCTAGTCATTACTACGTTCCGGTTTAGGGTGGTGGTAAAATAAAATTACAGGCACATGGGATTTGTCAACTTATGACTCATGGTAACGGGCGCAGTATCCGTGACCCTCAGACTCAGATCTTTGTGATCTAAAGCTCTGAGTGGCACTGGAACAGGCGCACGACTTGTTCGTTTCATGTTCGTCCTGTCACTTGGTTTCATAAAAAAAATAAGGCAATGTCCATCATATTGGGATATGTAGTACATAATAATTATTATAAAAGGTATTTTATACGCACCGCTTCAACTTCGGTTAAACATTTCCAGTGTAAGCTGACACTCGGCGCTATTAGTGGCTATAGCAAAACTAAAGTTTAACAAGACCGATTCATACTGGTTATGGACTTCGTGTGAATCGTGAGGATTATTAACATTCATATGTAGTAAGGAATGAATAATACAGGTAGGTAATATCAATAATTGCCATTGGGGCAATATTTTATTACATTCATCAGCTTTCATGTGTATAAATGACGTTACATTGGTAATGGATATAGGTGATGCTTAATTATATCAAGAAATATGAAAACGGCAAGAACTGTGACCGTAATTTGTGCATACCTCGTACGGCATTTGCTCGACAGTTTTACCTCATTTATGTATGTCGCACGGTTTTTTATAACATTCCATTATCTAATAAAGCTTTTTGAATGGACTTTATGTTTTAGCATACGAGGATACATTTATCATTTTTATAATATGAAGCGATGGCGCGAACAAGTAGTGCGCCTGATGGTAAGCGACAGGCCTATAAATGACAGTTTCAGTACCAGTAAATCTCAGATCTGAGGCACTGCCACTGCGTCCGTCCCTGAGGTATAAGTTGAAAAGCTCCATTTGCCTATACTTTCACCAACCCTTCAAAACCCGAAAGCAATCCAAAAATTTTAAAAAAATCTCTACCTAATAATCACCTAAAAATTTATATATCTTCATATCATGCCGAAAATGTTATTTTATAATACTGCATACTTAATACATAATACAATTTTCAAATATATATTATTACTTAATCTTTAGTTACTTTAGATGTCTGATCAAAGCACTGAATTTTACTGTACCTAATATTAAGTATATTGAATATCACAATATTTTACTACCATGATATTCAATTATTTTTTGTGAAATTACTCCACTAGTTTGTTATAAATATTAATACAAATATCGAACACTAAGAAAAATGACTTCGATTTGGCTAGATTCAAACCAGCGCCCTCAGCATGTCCGTGCCTGACGTCCCTTTCAACTGAGAACAAGGCAGCAGATTTTTTCTTCTTTTGTTCTGCTTTTTTACAACCTAAATTTTAGCTAAATATACCACATACATAATCTATGTAATGAATGACCCTTAGAGTCGTATTACAGAACTATACTTAATGCTCAAGTCAGGACATCAGTATGATTTAAAGCACTAGAAATTATACTCAAATCCTTGCGTTTAGGGTCGTATTTCCAGTGCTTGAAATCACACTCAAATCCTGACTTGAGCAATGAGTTGAGCAATGATGAACAATGACTTGAGCAAATCCTGACCCTAAGAGTCGTATTCTAGAACTCTACTCAATGCTCAAGTCAGGATTGCACTGGAAACACAAGCACTAGAAATACGACCCTAATGGCAGGGACTTGAGTATGATTTCGAGTGCTTTAAACTATACTCAAATCCTGACTTGAGCATTTAGTAGAGTTCTAGAATACGACCCTTAGGGTCACTGAAAATCATACTGAAGTCCTTGCCACTAGGTTTGTATTTCCAGTGCTTGAAATCATACTCAAGTCTGCTCAATCCTGACTCGAGCATTGAGTAGAGTTCTGGAATACGACCCTGAGATTGATGGAAATTTTTCCATGATTCAACACTAAACACAACATAACTCATCTAAAAAATGCGAGCTTTTGTAGTTAAAATTTTACACAACTAGTGTTGGGCCCTGGAAGAATTTCCATGTTGCAATTTTCGTATTTTTTAGAAAAACAAACATTTTTCCGAATATTTTTTGTATATTGTTCTATATTTAACACAAGGATGGAAAAAAAAATTAACAGTTGACACTTATAAAAAGTTGAAGATACCGAACGAAAACAATGGAGCCATTTTTTAGCTATCTGGAGGATCTATGTTGTGCAATCATTTTAAATCTCGTTTTACTCTTACTTGTTTTTTTTATAAACATTATAGTATTAAGTGCCTGATGGTAAGCCAGTCCATAACAACAGCTGCAGTGTCACTCACTGTAGTGTTGAGTTACTCATACACGAGGCAACTCATTTGTACCACTCGCTTGGTCAGTTTGTCACAACACTTCATGTCATAAAAATGTCCCACCTCACACCACACTTCATGTCATAGCGTCGCTCATGTCACACTGCACTGCCCGTTTTTTAGCTGATTTTACATCCAATAGTACTAAATAAAATTAGCATTTATTTATACTATAACATAACACTTAAGTAATCCAATTGATTGATACTATTAAGTTATGAAAATGTGCTTAATATTCCCTGTCAGTTCAGTCATTGCCGTAGTGTAGGTGCAAATATTTTTACCACTACCTCACATTATTTGAAGTAGGACATTGTACAGGGCAAGTTCAAGAGCACGTCAAGCTTGACACTTATGTTTTAAATCCAACTCTATGCCGCTTACGATAAGAACGGTCCAAAGTAAAGTGTCAAGCTTGACGTGCACTTAAAATTAGCATTTATTTATACTTTATCCTAACACTTAAGTTTTCTAATTGATTGATACCATTAAGTTATGAAAATGTGCTTAATATTCCCTGTCTGTTGAGTCATTGCCGTAGTGTAGTTGCAAATATTCTTACCACTACCTCATCTCATTTGAAATAGGACTACCGTCTCATTTTTTCAAATGAGGTACTCCCTCAAACTCATTTTAATTTCATGTCATACCCAACACTAAATCAAAGCCTAGATCGCAAAGACCTGAGGGCGCTGCTATTGCGCCCGTCAGCCTGAAACATGAGTAGACAAGTCCCATGTGCCTGTAATTTCTTGCTTTTAGTTCATTGACTTACTTAGCTATACAATTTAATTTTATAACTTCTGGGTAAATAAAACTTCAAAAGACATCTAAACGTAAAACATAAACAAAAAACGCAATATGAGCTTCCGAAGCATAGATTTAGTATATATGTTCCGAAGTATATTGTTTTAAATATCCGGAAATATTTCCAGTGAAATTTTTTTTACGAAAATTCTCAACGGTAAATCTTGTGCAATTTTCCATAAATTTCAAAACGTTTTACTGTTTGTCAAAATAAACTGACACTCGTTTTCATCTCTTTTTTAACAATCGTTGGTTACACGGGTTAGTTCGCTGCCTGTTTTGATATTTTGTTTCTCTTCCAGCCGAAAAACGACAAAATAATAATTTTCGTAAACATTACTGAACTTACGCAAATTCTCCAACCATGCCTAAATCGAAAGACAAAACGAAAGGTGCCAAGAAAAGGCGTAAATCTCCTACCATTGTTGATGTCAACACAGCTGAAAGCGATAGAAACAGTTCAAAACCCGGTGCAAAGAAGAAAAAGCTTCAAAAGCGAAGCGGTATAGAAGGAATTGACAAATCTAGACAGCTAAAAGAAAGGCTAAAGAAACCACGCGCGTCAAGATCTTCAACGTCTGCAAGAAACAAAGACCCAAAACTATGTGGAAACGGTATGCCGATGCCACCATTATCGGAGCTAGAAAGAATGTACGAAGACTCTGATGGCAATGATGATCCGCCAGAAATAAAACCATCAACCACTCCGGACAGATCAATAAACCTAGAGCCAAAACCTGGCACCATGATAACAGGTGGAGAAACAAAATTATTGTCTCCAAATACTCTCAAAAAAATTGCATCTAGAGTATTGGATATGATTTCTAATTCAACTGAAGATAGCCCTCCATCATCAATTATTCCTCCAAAGAAGCCAAATAAAAGTGGTATTCCTTACATAGTTGGCTGTAAAGATAGAGAGCAAGTTCCTTGGGCACCAAAAACAAGTTTTTGCAAAGGCAGTCCTAAATATGGAGTGGAACCACATGATGAAGAGGAATGTAAAGGAGAAAATGTTGGACCTCATTACGCAAATGTATCAAAATCTATTTTTAATGCCCAAAGTGAAGAAATTGCAGAAAGACTAAAAGAGCTTGAGAAACTTGAAAATGTATTAACTTCAATGACACCAACAACTCAAACTACAGCACGCAGTGGCAGCCCTGATAGCAATAAAACAGTACCATATGATTTTCCTGACTCACCTAAAAGTGGACCACGATCATTCTCTCCTCTTCCCAGTACATCTAAGGACAGGGAAACAATTCTCAAAAATGATAAACTTTTTAACCAGAGCTTAAAATGTGAAAGTGTCCACAGTAATAGTTCACAGGAGGAGGTTGAAATAGTGGAAGTACCATGTGAGACAATTATTATTGATGATACTGTACCTGATCTACCTAAACCAGAACCTATGGATGTTGATTTTGACCCTGTAGACCTTGATGATGACTGTTGTGTTATTGTAGAATCAGAAACAAATATAAAACCGAAACAAAACTCGTTAAATCCTATAGAAACCAAAGATGAAATATATGGCAGTCTAGATCTAACTCAAAGTTACGATGATAATGAAGTATGTGAAATTATAGATGTTGATGATGTAATATCAGAAAATAGGGCTTTACTTGACAAGTATAGAAGAGAAAATAATTTGGATTCTGTGATACTTGTTGAACCTAATACTACTGCCATTAAACAGAACACATTAAATCAAGAACCTAGTAGTGCTAGTACATTCAGAGAACCCAGGCAAAGTTATTCAAATGGTCCAGTTCTTGCTACAGTAGAAAATGCTAGTTCACGAACTTCAGTAATGAATTTCGCACCACCTGTTGAAAACAGAAATGATATTAGAGATGTAGTAACAAGTTTCTTTAGACAAAGACCCAATCATAATTTTGGAGGTGGTGAGCGTGCCCCTTTAGAGGTTATCAGCAAAGATGATTTACCAAGTCCAAACCAAGATAACGAATCAAACAATGCTGTAGGTAGAATTTTGTCATGGCTGACATCCATGTCTGGTATGATTACAGATAGCAAAGCAAAGAGAAAACGAAGTAGAGAGTTAATACAAAGCAATAGACGTGGTACAGAAATTACGGTTGAGGCTAGGCCCCGGACTAGTGCCGAAGTAACTGATATACTCACTCAAGCATTGGCTAATGCAAACCAACAGCACACTCAGCATCACACTCAGAATCAGCAGCAACAAAAGTCTTTATCTCAACAGCACTCACTGCAGCTACAGTCAATAGATAATTCTTCAAAAGGCCTTGGAGACTGTCCTATTTGCATGGACAACCTTTCAAATAATGCAATAGCTTCTACATTATGTGGACACATCTTTTGCATGAGTTGCATAAAAACAGCTATAAAAGCCAATGGCAAAAGGTGTCCAACTTGTCGTAAAGCACTTAAAGGTGTTGGCTACCACCAACTTTTCTTGTAAAATGTGTTTTATACTAAGCACCAACTGTAAAGTTTAGGCTTAAGTAAAATGTACACCTTAGATTTGTACTAAATATTATTTTCTATATCTGTGATGATTAAAATGTATTGATTTATGGAAGGGATATGAAGAAAAAGAATTTGTCTCACTTATTTTTTTAGTTTTTACATTCCTAAAATCACATAACATCTTACTTTTATAAAGGTAACATTCCTAAAAAAATATATTTTTTATGCTACCTCGTAACTAAAGCTCATTGGTTAATAACTAAAGCAAATGGTTACTCTTATTTCAAATTATTTATTTCAAGGAAAGGTCAATTTTACATGTATACTACATTATAATGTCTAAGCACAGTAAATATAATGTTATTTACTCATGATTGAAGTATCACAAATTATCAATTTGATTTTAAAATGTTTCAATGCTTACTTATGTGTGAAACATCTGTATGTTTTTAGATATTTTCAAAATTGTCGCTGTATAAACAAATAGACATATACAGAAGTAACTGTTGAAGCCATAGTGAAGTTACATGTAAAATGCCCATTTCTTTTCTTTAGAATCTTGTACTATATTTGTATTAAAGAATCATATTAAGATAATCAATCACAACATTTTTTATTTAACATTAAGGTTCATGAATAAATTAACCCATTACGGTACGCATTAGAGACATCATATGACTTTAGGACACTACAGTGTCAAAATCTTCAAAGAAACCATGTGTCTCGAACTGTTGTATGCAAAGAAAAAAAATGTTGTAACATGTTTGTGGGCTTAAAATGGGTTAATGTATCATTGGTATTTTTTGAGATATGTACAAGTGTGCCATAATAGAAATTTGATAAGTATTATTGTTAACTATGTATTCTATTTTGTTGATTGAAATGCAATTTTTTTTTTTAAATAATGTTTTTTTCTAGCAACAAATCCGCAAACACTACACACAAACTGTAAAGACCATTTTCCCATAAAATTTAAACTCATACAATGGAAATGTAACTATTATATCACTTATAATATATATAAATATGACAATTATGGTAAAAGTCTATTATAGATTATAAAATACATGAGGTTATTATTAAAGTTCAGAATATAATTACCTAAAGTCCAAGTAATATATATAGAGCCCGATAATGTCTCCCTTTAAAATACTGAAGTGATTAAAAGGTAAATAATTTTTTATATACAATTATACAATTACAAAATTTAACTAAATACAATACCATAGTAGATTAATTGCTAGTTAACCTTCATAAATAAAGAACAAAATACGATACAAATATACTCTTGGATACATAAGTCGAGGCACGTTACATGTTCACTGTTAAATGCCTTACACCTAAACAATGTTTGACTGAACAATACTATACTAAACACCATTTCCACATGTCCTTGTTGAAAATTGGATTTTATAAAACCTGGGAAGTTATTCTTTAATGATGACAATATTTTTATAGCATGCTAGCCTTTTAAAATAAACAGTACAAGATGGCTCGAATTATGTGTCCAGGAGTGTATAATTCTAGGAAGGTGTTTATTTTACTTTATTTTAGTTTACTTCCCTGAACTTTAGGTAATATACTTTGCCTATTTCAATATTTACTTTTATACATAATAATAAAAATTAGACCACATTTACACAATTAACCAAATTTATTTATTACTGTTGTTACCATTACTACTGCCTAATGTTTTGTCAGAATGCAAATGTTCTATAGATGTAGAGAGCTGCTCTAGACTTTGTACAAGTTGTGCCATTTTATCTTTAGAATCAGAGCTATCAAAACTATCATCTGTTGGTTTCTCCACATCAGCATATAACCGAAAATGTAATCGAGCTAAATGCTCTTGTTGATCCCTAATATTAATCATTTGCTCAACACTACATTCTGATCCAAATGCACTGAGTTTCCCTGTATGGAAATCATCAAGTAATTCCAGAAGTGCTTTCTCCATGTGCTTAACGTCTGTCGTCTCTTTGGGAATATTTTTCGGTCTATTGTTATAGTTAGTACGCATCAAGTCTCGATGTAGTCTCCTTTCATTGACGTACGATACTTTGGTCGAATCATTCCCGCTCACGTTGCCAGTGCTCGTGACCACTTGGAGATTTCGCGAGGAAAGACTGCCTGCCCCGCTGGACATCTTATTACTGGTAACAGGCGAGGTTGCTGACTGCGAGTGTGAAGCCTTCTGTTCCTCTTCCTCTCCTTCATTCTGCATCAGTTGCTGTGTCTCGTTAGCTTCTTCTAAATCCAAACTCATGTAGATTTATAGCAGAATGCTCACTTTTTCGGTAGCCATATATAGTAATTTAAACAATTTGTATTTAAAAAAACAAAGATTAGTGTAAATTAAAGCTGAAGTATACAAATCTAAAGTCCGTTTTTAGTGAAGATGGAAAAATTTGACAATTCGTTGCGCAAAAGTGTTGCCCGTTCTCAAGTAGCTAGTGATTGCAGTCGATAAATATGAATGAATGAATGAATGAATTATCGACTGAATATTGGTTACGCTTACGCAATGATTGTCCGAACTTGTTAAATTTGAATCATCATCGGCCCATTATTCGTGCCACTGCTGGGCTACTATTGCTTTTATTTTTTTTATTATAAATTAACATTGAAAAACGTAAAAAACTGTACAATAAAAATATACGTCATCGTTACTTATCCTGGTAATTGGTATATGCGAGTCGTTATTATATTACTTATTATAGACAAAAGTAGCTACTAAAATTTAAACAAATAAATAAATTGCCGCACGGGCACAGCGGGCCGGCAGAATTTGCCGCATTCGACTACCACTCTTTGGCTTGTTCGGATGTGCTCACTTGCGCTCGCGCTTATTACGTTTCTTTTGTTAGTTCACGTTATTGTTTTCTGTTATCGTGTTAAGTTTTTGTTAAGTTTTTTTTGTTACTGTATTTGTTGCGTATTGCATCGCAATATGGACAACCCAGGACCATCCACTTCTTCGGGCATTTTATCGCCTCGAAAGAAAAGACAACGTATTGCTCTCAATACTACTGAGAAGATGATGACGGAGAATGTATATAAATACATTGTTCAGGAAGAAAACAAGGGTTGCGATCCAAATCTTTTAGAAGCTGCCAGTAAAACAGAATGTGCTAAAAAAACGGCTGACATTCTGGGCATTTGAAAATCAACTGTTTATACAGTTCTAAAAGAAAAATGCGAAAATATGAACTTTCAGCCCCCTAAACCGAAAGGCAGGCGAAAAAGCTACATACAAAAATTCGATGAATTCCATTTGGAGGCCATAAGACGCAAGGTTCATCAATTCTTTTTCCGAAACGAAGGTCCAACTATTGCCAAGGTAATCATTCGCAAATCAATATTCACTTTGGCAGATTATTTAAATGACTTGCTGTAGTTGTTTAGGTGCAGAAATCTTGGCGTACGACGTGTTTGTCAATTAAAGCTATCATTACAGTCAAATTGCGTAATTCGCACCAGAGATGGGCCAGCACTCGGGTTTTTCGGAGTTAGTTTGGGCACAGGTAAAGGGGCACGTCGCAAGAAATAACAAAACTTTTAAAATGAATGAAGTTAAAATATTGCTTGGAGAAGGGATAACTAATGTAACGCCACAAAAGTGGAAAAATTGTGTAGACCACGTTATCAACGATGTCGAAACGAAAATGCGCCAACTCGACCATTTATTTGACGACGTATGTGATACATTTATTATACATGTATCGGATTCCGACGATACCATTACCTCGTCTAACACAGAAGAGATTTAATTTCGAATTAAAAAAAATGTATATGAAACACGTATATATACATTTGTTTCGTAATTTGTGAATCCGCCCAGTGTGCATTATACATATTTAATTTTAAGTCAACATTTGAATTGTAGATTTTATAAGTACATTTGAATTGTAAAATTTATAAGTACATTTGAATTGTTAACTTTTGTAAGTTCATCACATCTATTAAAAATCAAAAAGGGAAATTTTGTGGTTTTTAATTTTAATTCAGTATAGATAATCAAATCCAACGCGATAACGCAATTACTAATCATTAGAATGTTATAAGTCTCACAATTCATACATTTTTTGGAAACTATTATCATCTTTCCAACCTATCGATAAATCTATCGACAATAGCTACATGACTATTTAAAATTTTACGAAAACTGGCAACCCTGCAAATGTCAAATTTTTCCATCTTCAATAAAAACGGACTATATATCCTTCTAATTTGTGGCACAGCAACAGCTGAACGTCAAAGTGTTACAAAGTACGCTATGATGTCAAACAAAAACGAATATAAACCAAATATAGAGTGTATGATCTATGATATAAACTGAGTTGAGAAACAAAAAAGAAATAACCTCTTGCATTATTTAGTGTCGGAGACTTCCTTTTAACGTAGGTATTTGCTACACTACGTTCAAATAAAATGTAATCTATATTTTCATTCTAACGTCCGTCCTCCAAAAAATTGCAACTTTTCGATGTAAACGTCAATGTCAAAAAATTTAGAAAACGAGGTAAAATCTCTGATTTTTTTCATCAAATTATTAATTATTTTTTAAATCCTTTTATATAAAATATCTTTCTTTAATTTAGTTTTATAACCAGTCAAAGGCATGTTTAACATTTTCCGATTTGGTACATCCCGCTATGAATATGATTCAGCCATTGTATTTTTTTTCTGGCCACATCCTCAATTTATTGTAGCACATGTTTCGCTCGAATACCGACAGAAAATTAATAGTTTTTTTCGTGGAATACATTTACCATTAACAACGTCTATGTTCTTCGCAGCTGAATACGATCGCGGAGTCGGGCGTACGTACGCACCTAGATGAGCTACGCTTTGCATTTTGATTACACACATACTGCGTCGCCTGGATCTGGTTCAGTAGGACCGAGGAACTGATTTCGTGAACAAAAATGACAGATCCCGTACCTCTTGATCCCAAACTACGCAATCAATTGACAAGATTTGTTCACACTGGGCGTGAGATACCAAAGTACTACCCAGGCTGTTGGTTGTCTCATAAATACTTCGAAGACGACAAGTTGCAAGCCCTAAATGAAGCCCTTCAAAATAGAGCGAACAATGTCGAAGTTGTGGAAGTCTTGTTGAAGGTAAGTTTTTCTTTATGGGTAAGTTTTATACACATATAAAACACGCACATATAGTTAACTAACATTATGTTCTGTTGCAGACCGGCAAAGATGGACAGTACACGCGCTTTGAGCCACTAGCTTTTGCTTTGGCAAAGTGCATTAAACTTGGTTCGGATGCCGTGAAGCAAGCTGCTTACAAGGCTGCAGCTGAATTGTGTGTCACTCCAGAACAGCTAATGATCTTCAATAGATTTGCCAGGTCATTGAAAACGGGTATGCATTATCGACATGCTTGCATTAATAAGTAATAGTTATTTTTATTATTATTTAATATGACTGTTACCAATTTTAACTTAAGTTACTGCTGTTTAGAAACTTGAAAATAATTTCAATTACCCACATAAAGATGACCTTAAATGTAATTTGTGAATTCATAAAAAAGTTTTCAATCAATTATAATGTTTAAGTTTTAAATATTTAATATTTGAAATATATGTTGAGAAAATAATAAAATCATTACTGTCTTGACTTATAACAATTTTTGTATTATAATCTTGTTTCCATCTGGGATCAGTCCTTGAACCAAAACAGATCCTTCCTATAGTTTAATGAACAGTTGTTCAAAACCCAGTTGGGTTTCTACTCTAAAATATACTTAATTAAACTGCCTGCGTGGCCGAACAGTTATCATGCTGCCATGCAGAGGTCCTCACTTTGATTCCCAGGCCGGGAGAAATATGCCTATGGCCTACATTTATTTCTCTCGTGAGTTTGGGTGTAATTTGTGTTTGTCTATGTGTGTGTCCATGGCACTCGTGACACAGGGATTCCCTAGTGTGGGGCTAAGTGTGTGTGTATTATTATTACTTAATTCACAAATAATGAAAGTTGTTGACAATTTAGAATATATTTTAAATATTTATTTTATATATTTTTATAGTTTTGTTTATTACTTGTTCCTGTGAAAATATGGTTACTTTTACTTTTACTTTACATTATTATTTTTTTATAAAATTACTTTTGGACCTACGAATGGTGACCCCAATTTGGCATCATTGTCCAGTAGATTAAATCATTTTGAACGCCTACTGTTGCCTTGCCAGTGTCAGTATTGTAACCAACACCTCTTATCCTTAATAAACAAACTAATTAACATAGGAAATTAAACTATTTTTTCAAATCTAAATTTGCTAGTATATTTGTTTTTTCAAACAAACTAATGTTTCAGGCCCTTTACAGGTCCCATGATCATGGCTGATTGTTTAGTTTCATTTCCTATGCATAACAGTTGTGAAAACCTAAAAACTATAAATCTGTTTAACAGGCAATGGTCGCGGATGGTGCAAGAACGTCAATGAGTGGTACAACAAGAAGGATCCAATGGAACTGGCCAAAGAGCTAACTCGTGTCCGATCACGCCACGGACGCTCACACACCACGCTTCTGAGAAAAGCCCATTACAAGACTCCTGAAAATGATGCCGGTAAGCAAATAAACAATGTAGTATTGTGAGTTAATTAGTAGTTAATTATAGTAGGAAACATGAATCACATATCACATAAACAATAAAATGTACCATTAAATAAGTTTTAGTATTGTTTGATATATTAACAAACAACTTTAATTTTATTTGAATTTACAATAATATTGAGAACTGATATTTTGTGACCTTGACTATATGGCCATACCCTTGCTTTTTTGCTTCATTTTCAGTATGGTGAATTTTGGATTCTCGGACACTTATATTGTACCGTCGATGTTTTCTAGAAAGAGCGTAAGCGCCATTTCGAATAATTTTTCAGGGGAGCATATTTTAGGTTTTAACAACTGTTTTAAAATATTTACGTCCTGTTTTAAAATTCAATTTTGTTTTAATAAAGTTTAATTTTTAAAGTTCTGTAGCAATAAAACTCCTTGTGAAACAGTTCGTTCAGAGAAGTACCTACTGTCACCTTAACTATTTCTGCCGCCAAGCGGTAATGCTGCGTTCCGGTTTAAAAGAGTTAGGGTGCTAGTGAAATTACAAGCACATGAGACTTATGTCTCAGGGTGACGGGCGCAGTGGCAGTGCCCCTCAGATCTTTGTGTTTTATAGCTCTGAGTGGAACTGCAACTGTTATGGACAGGCGTGTCGCTTACAATCAAGGACACGAATTGTTCGTCCCGTCACTTGGTATCATAAAAAGAAAAGGCTCCCCTAAAAATATTTCAAAATTTCGCTTACACCCACTCTAGGAAACACAGACGACGGTGTTTGAATGCATTTCATTTTGTCCACTGTAATTACCACGCTAAATGATGTATTGATATTAAGTGACCAAACTATTTACTGTAAACAAATTAGGTCCATTTTTAACATACAATATCTTTAATATAATCAGTGTTGGGCAAAATTTAATTGTTGTGGCAATTAAAGATTGACAATTAATTAATTGTCAATTGCGAAACAGCAATTAAAGCGGTTCTCGCAACTAACAATTGATCAATCGTTAATCGCGTATATCTACAATTAATCAATTTTCAATCTTTTCAATGTTTTTGATTAACTATTAAAACTGACATTTATGATAAATTTATACGGCATATGGGGGTGAGTTAGGGGGTTAGGAGGTGGGTTGGGGGTGAGTTAAGGGTGGGACGCTCCCCGACGGGCCCCCCAAACGGCCCCATAACCGGACCCTCAACCGGCCCCTCAACCGGCCCCCAACCGGCCCCCAACCGGCCCCCCAACCGGCTCTCCAAACGGCCCCCTAACCCAGCCTTAACCCACCCCGTAACCCATATACGTAATGACACTTTTATTCGGTACTTTCGGTTTTAATTGTTAGTTTCAATTGTTTCTTAGAACAACTAAAAAAATTAATTGCAATTAATTTAATTCCAATTAAAATCAATTGCAATTAAATCAATTTATTTTTTAATCTGATTGAATTTCTGATTGAAATTTAATTGATTAACGCCCAACACTGAATATAATTGATTTAGGAGAAATGGGATTAAAAATACACCTTAACAATTACAAATTTACATTTCAGCTCGCGACGCAGTGATCAAGTACGCGATTTTCGGCCTAAAACGGGCGAGGCAAGTAGTCGGCGACCAGGAGGGAGTGAAGGAGATTTTTGACTATATACAAAAAGTAGAAGACATGAGACATTGTGAGGACCCGGTGGCCGCCGCCGCGCTGGCGATGAAATTTCAGTTTACTATTGATCATGTCCCTGGACACTTGCTTACATCACACGAAGTAAGTTTATTATACTTTATACTATGGAATTTTAGTACTTTCAAAATTTTGCTACAATTATTAAAAGTTTTAATAAATGTGAACTATTAATCATCTATGAATAATTGGTGTATCACAAAACACAAACACAGTTGAATTAAGAAACAAATTAAATTCTGCTATTATTATGGTTTTGTTCAGTAATCAAGCTCAATAAACTCTTGTGCGATCTTGTTACTATCCAATACGAAACCTGTCATGGTCTAAAAACTAATAATGTCGTGGTCGTGGTTGCTCAGTTTTCTGTTAAATTTTTTAGTTAATAAATGGGCTCAAAACTCGTTTGTTTCTGCCAAACTACGCAATTTTTTCAATATCATAAAACATTTTAAATAACCCTAAGAATAGTAATGAATAGTTAATGAATAATTGAGAAATTTTTATCCACATATTCCTTAAATTAACGTGTTATTAACCAAATGAGTGCTATCTCGCTCACTCTCCTGCACTTTTTTTATCCACATATTCCTTAAATTAACGTGTTATTAACCAAATGAATGCTATCTCGCTCACTCTCCTGCGCTTCATTGATAGTGACAGCAACAATATTATTACATCACAAGATAGACCATGTGACCTGATGAAGCAGACCTGATATGAATTCAAAACATCTACTAAACAATAATTTCTTTGCATTTAGGCTACATATTTATATCATTTTCTGTTATAAAAAAATTAATACCTTGTATTTAAAAAGATCTAATTTATCTTTATGATTGACTGAGTGAGGCGGTGAAGTGGATCCTTGAAAACAATGCTTATATTTATATATTTATTTCATCAAAAACTAGCAACCCACTAAACTTTAATATCTTTAATTTAAAATCTAGTCAAAATTTTTGTTATGATTACTTTAAATTAGCTTATCATATCTCTTACATTTGATCTGAAAATATTTATAATTTCAGGTATGGAACGCAATTCTCCCGCAGTTCTCTCTAGAACAACTATTATACAATATCCAACGCATTCACAACATGGGATTCCTGACTAGTGACTCGACCACAACAGCTATCCTGATATCCTTAATCACCAACCAGGATGTTATTAAGAAATCGAAGGTTACTCCCTTGGCTGTCTACATCACGCTTAACAACTATAAGAAGAAGACAAAGTAAGGGTTTAATTATCACAAATAGATAAAGTTTTCAAAAATTTTGGCTAATTAGAGCCCCATTATTTGATACTATGGACGCCTCTTTGTTACAAAATTCGTTATTGTTGTTTAATGGAATATGTTGTAGTTATAATATGCAATATAACTATTTAGGCCCCTAAAACACGAGAAAGCCAAAGTGGCTTTGGAGAAAGAACAGCGCCGTCGCTCACGCCAGATTTACGACACCAAAGCCGAACGTTGGGAGTGGAACGTCGCCAGGAGACATCCTAAGGAAGTCAAGCATTGGGGCAAGTATTGACTCATATTCAATCAATTACGAGTTATTTACACAGCGATTATCGTGGTAGGATACAACTATCTGAGTCGGGATGTGTCGCTAATCCATTTCAAATTGGACACACACATCTCCGAATACTTCTTTGAAACTATGTGCAGGTTTCATCACAATGTGTTTATCTCCAAGAAAGTAAATCAGCACAAATGATTATTAAAACTGCCTCATTGGTCGAATGGTTACCATGCTGGTCTCCCAGGCAGAGGTCCCGGGTTTGCTGCACGGGCAGGGACAAATATTTGTACGGCCTACATTTATTACTCGTGTGAGTTTGGGTATGAAATGTGGTTGCTTAGTGCATGGCTCCCGTGACATAGGGTTTACCCTAATTGCGAGGCTATGAATGTGTGCATTAAAAAAATCTTAGTCTTTTGTTTATTACATGCTGTTAGCCTGACAAGACCAGTGTATTCAAGCCAGCTTAGTCCAGCTCCAGACTAGCTTGCCTACCTTCAAAATGTTTCATGAAAACTAGTTATTTATTACGTAGTTTAAAACAATACTACCGCTACGATTACTCACTCCGTTTCGCCTAAGTACTCCATTGGCGTTTTCTTCTGTAGAAGTTTCATCAAAATGTCGTTGCTACTTGTTGCACGATGCAACTTATGTCGCGTAATTCACCACTCATCTCTCTCATTACCACTGTCATCATATTCTAAAGTTGTTTTTGCTCTGTTCATTGCACCAATCCTTTGAAGTTTTTGAATATGGTTAGTATTATTTACTGAAATAATTTAATTTGTTATGCATCTATCATTGATATATTTTGCTGATTGTTAATATTTTCATGTAATAAGCATTTTTAAGGGTCCTAATTTGGAGGCCCAATACAATTATTTTTCGAAACTTTTATAACCGTTTCCAGTCTATTCTGTTATTTTTACTTCTGGTTTATAACTTCATTTTTTTTTTATTCTTCCTTTAGTGCTTATGGAGTTAATTTCACTACTCTTATGTCCATAGTAATGGTTTGATGTTACTAATTTAATTAATTACACAAATGAAACACGTAATTTATATAATACCTGCATTATTATTTAATGAGAAGGATTTAACATTGATGAATATGTAAAGGTATCGACCACCCGCCGAACCCTGCAGTGATCTCGGCTCTGAACAAGTTGATCGATCAGACGTGGCTGCTGACAGCGCCCACCAACGCCCGTTACATGATCACCCTTGACATGAGACACCATATGTTCAAAGGTACATATTTGTTATTATTTGTATAAATTTCTATAAGTAAAAATATCTCGATAGACAGGCGAAGAATTTTTCAAGTCCCACGGTTTTGTATAATAGTACTGCTGTATAAATAACACGACGTTAAGAAAAAAACCTTATGTTCTGCTTAGTTTTAATTAACACCCAGCCGACCCAATACTGTGGTCCAACTTATTTTTTTTTAGAATACCAAATGACGGGACGAACAAGTCGTGCGCCTGGTGGTAAGCGACACGCCTATCCTTAACAGTTGCAGTGCCACTCAGAGCGTTAAATCGTAAAGATCATAGGGGCACTGCCACTGCGTCCGTCACCCTGAGTCATAAGTTGACAAGTCCCATGTGCCTATAATTTTACCAATTTTAAATGATAGATAGTGTTATCAAAAATAAAGGGTATGACGACTTGTCATTGTAATAGGTCGTCATTTCTGTAAGAACTACGTAATACCGAAGAAAGGCAAGAAAGTGTCTGCCAAGGCGACGGTGCCGCCCACCACCGGCGGCGGCGATGCTGACTCCGAAAACAAAAGCAAGAAACATTTGTTGGCCGAGTGCTTCTACAACAAGCATGTCACTCCTGGTCACGCTGGTGAGTAAACAGGATATAAGTTCGTTTTGTCTAACTCAAGGACAACATATAGAGACAAAAAAGAGACAAGGAAAGAGAAAGACAAAGATAATAGACAAGGCAGATTTTGAGAGAGGCAGAAGCAGGCTTTGACATTTGTCTATTAGAGTCGGGCTCAAGCACAATTCACTATTTTGTAAATTTTGATTTTTGTAAAATGTAATGTAATTAACAATTGCGAATTATAAAATAGATAAATATTGAAATAAATATTATTTCATTACTTCTATAAAGGTGGCTCCTCCAAAGTTTCTAGGTGCGTCATACATTTTACATTGGAATAAATTTTCAGCTATAATCGTGGCCCTGCAAATCTTAAAGCGCGAGAAAGAGGTGAAGGTGGCCGTCTTTACCGAACAGGGCATTGAGATCGTCTCCATTGAGCGCAACTTCAGTAGCATCGAGGAAGCTGAATTCCAGTTGAGGGTAAGTTCATCAACAATCAAATGACAACAACTAGCGAGTTTAACAAACAGTTATCCGTCTGTATTATTCATCTTTCAAATAGTCTCTCTTATCTTTTACAAATTTGTAACGACATTGGGTTTCCTTTAAGACTATTTACGTCATCAGCAACAGTCCACTGCTGGATATGGACCGCCCCTAATGTACGCCACTCCTCAGAAAGTATGTCCATATTAGAATATCTCTAAATTGAAACAATTTCAACAACTTCTAGAAAGCCAACCTCGGCCGCGTGCAGCTAGACGCACCGATCGAATGGGCGTCCAAGAACAACCAAAAAGTGGACGTTTTCATCAACATGATAGACCGGTCCTCTCGATATATGGAGCTCGAGAAAAATGCGCGCGGGGGTCGCGGACCTGGTGGCAGATTCGGGCCCCCGCCGCCAGCGAACAAGGAGCTACAAGACCACTGCCCCGTAAGGGCCCTTGAACGCTACAGGAAAAATGCTAACATACCCGATGCTAAGTAAGATAATATCATGTAACTAGAATTTAGTATATTGATAGTCCTTCATAGTAAGATCAAAAGAACTTCAACATCTCTGTTTCATTATTATAATAATAAAATATACAAATATTATTTACTACTTAATTTTTTATTACTCTGATTATTAGTAATTTTAATTTCTTGTTAATTTAATTGAAAATAATATTTTTTAATATATTTCTTATTAAATAGATACTTTGCTGGGAAATTGAATGTGACTATAACTGTAATAAATTGAACGTGATGTGACTATTTAATGTGATATTTCCAGGTTGGTAGTAATGTCGCTGGCATCTCACCGCTCGGGTACAACAGATGGCAGCCACGAGGGCATCCTCGATATCGTCGGCATCGACGAGCATGTCCCACAACTGCTTGACGCGTTTGCACTCGGCCTATTCAAATGATCACCCGGCAAACCGACCGACCGTCAACACGTTCGAATCGACCTCCTTACCTCAATGTTGCAATCAATTCGAATAAATGACATTCACTATGCTACAGGTTAGAAAGAGACAGAACTATACGAAGAACAGAGAAGAAATTCTTCAATTGTATAACACGTAACAAGATAGAGAAAGATATAGTTGTCTGACAATAGGGCGTAGCACTGTATCTTATTGTTCTATGTTTCTCTGAAAAGGATTCGTAGTTACAATGTCCCGTCTAACACTACTTGTAGATCTGTCCCTCTTTTTCAGACAATTTGTGGAAAGTCACCCTGTCGGAATTATAATTGCAAATCTGTCCAATGACATCACGCCAATTAGCCTCAGTTTGAAACGGGCAGCCAAGAGGAGATCAATACCCTAGAAATTTCCGACGGGCTTAAATATCTCTCATGCAAACCATAATGTGTTCCGAGAACGGCTTTGAAAGAAAAAAGTTGAAATTAAATATTTAGATTTAGCATTGCATTAGAGGTGTGTTTCGCTTATGTGCGTTATTATTATTAGTTTTATATTAATTGATTTTACGCCAGTTATACGATCTCTAGCACAATTTTATCGGAACGACTAATTAAATAAAAAAGCTCTTCGACGTAATTAAGTAATCACAACTAATTGTCTAACGTTTCACTGTACTTGTAATGATTTTAAGAGTGAGCAGGATAGAATCATATTAGATCTGGAAATAACTAAGTGTGCAGATTTTCGAATAATTTTTTGAACTGTTAAGTTCCTTCCAAAGCCCATGCGGTTTGACCAAAGTCCAAAAGGCATAGGACCAATGAAACATTAACAAAAAATATACACATTGGAGAAATTATAAACGTTATTTAGTATTTGATCTTGCAAATTCTTTAAACGACAAACCGTGTTGAATTATAAAAATAAAGTATAAAAATATATGCTAAATTTGAATAGAGTAAGTTAGTGCTGTGTTTGTTAAGTTTTGCACTCTTGGATCAGATAAGCAATAATTGTGGGTTGTAGCTTAAAATGTAATAAGAATAAACAGCCAGGTTCGCCATTTTATTCCTTTGATAAGAAACTTCCAACTATAAATGATCAACTTTGAAGAAATTAAAGTTTCTTTGCCTTCGTTACATATTAGTTAACGGTGTTAAGTATCTTCACTACATATTTAGTTAAGCGTGAGCTTTTATCTTAAGTAAGAAGTGTATCTCTAGGTTAAGCTTAGTTGTGTGTAGCTTGAACTACTTATAACAACAGGGTCTTTTTGGTTTATCAAAATGTTGGCACCTGGTGTTAAAGTTATACTGTATTATTTCAATCAATAAGGTGGTGACAAAGCAGGGAAATATCTCTTTTATTTGGAATGTATAAAAGAGCGTATTTTACAGTCCGATCTACATCTCGCCTCCGTGTTTGTCCGCCAGTACTTTCATGTTGTTATTGTACTGATGTTAAATTGTGTTATTAACTTACGTATGCCACATATGCGGTGATGGAGTGGTTGTGTGATTAATGTTTTTGCCAAAGTATTTATTGCATTTGTAATATTACCGAGTACTGGCTGGCAAACTTTAAAATGTCTTAGCAAATAGAAACTAAATAGTAGTATACCTTTCGTATAGTTCAATTGAAAACAGGTACATGCTTATACTTTTGTGTGCTGGTTGTTTAAAATTATCTTGACATATTCAACATGAACTTTTAGAATCTGTGACCTTGCTACCGCTCAAGTGAACCAGAACACACGTAATGGCAATAACTCATGAGCATGTATCAGCTTTCACACAGTTTAGTATAAGCGGATCCGTTTCAAAATGTTGGTTACTTTTGTACTAATATGAGCGGAGTTTTCAGAATCTGTGATCACTTGGTACTCTCTCGGGTTTAAGTAATTTTTATATCAGAAAGTGTTGAAAAATTTTCAAACTTAGAAAGGATAAATTAATTCAAAATTGCTAGGTACGCTTTTATAATATGTAATTCGTTGTTTTGTTAAATAATATTCTTTAGATAAATAAAATTAGTATTATGCTATTTAACGCAAGGATTATTTATTTTACGCTTGTCCAGTGACCATATCATGGATATCTACATGACTTAACCCAAATATCCTGAAAATATCTAGGATTTATTTGGCTAGTCGCCGTATCTCAAAAATAGCATTCTGTGATTTTAATGCCTTGGCAACTTCCTAAAGTTTTTGTTTTATATTAGATCTAAAAAAGTAAGTACACTCCCATACACATAATTCGGGCCACTTTGCATTGTCAGTATTAAATGTCCTTAGCTTAAATACTGTTTGATTGCTTAATAACTAATTCAAGTTTGAAACTGGTGTACTAAACGTCATTTTCTAAAGCTTTTGTTGAAAATTTAAATTTGCGAATCCGGGAAAATCTCTCTTCAATAGTAATATAAAAAAATTCTTGAAGAATAAAAATGCAAGATGGCTCGATTTATGTGTCCGGAAGTGTATTTAAACAACCACTAGTTATGACATTGTTACAAAATCAAACTGTTGTTATTTCCCTGAAATTTTCTGTTTTTATTGTTTGTACTTTAATATTTTTTCCAGTTATCTTATGCTTTTCATGTTTAAAGAAATCCGTCCCATTGAACTCAACTGTTGTACCGACGTGAGCAATGCATTAGTTTAAGTGGATCGTAGTCATAATAATCATTCACATGTTTAACCCATTCACAGCAGCATATCAACGGCACCACGTAAAGTAACAAAAATGTAACAACATTTAAAAAAATGTACTTGCATGTTGGTTTTCACATTAAATAAACTTATTTGACTATATTTATATTTTTTCTTTACATTCTTTACACCTTCAGAAAAGATTTCTCTCTTTTACGGCACATGGAGCTTATTTCTATAGGTACTAAATTCAGTATGTCAGTAACTATAGTTTTTTGCGTTTCAAATGTGTTTCGGAGTTTTAGTTGAGTTTGCTTAACCTGCGACAGTCCCTGTCGCAGGTTAAGCAAAACAATGCCATCGAATAATTCAGTGTATCCCGTTGGTCGAGACTGGTCTGACCAATGGGATTTTTTTCCCATTGTCCAGATCAGCTTGTGATTTATTAAAGAATCGTTGAGTACAAAATAGCAGACTCTTGGTCATATACCTATTAAACAGATCATGCCCTTGGAGCGCCTGCCCACATTGGTTACCTATAAATAGTCCGAAATAACATGTTCGAGAAATAACGTTCGGTCGAAATTTCATAACCTCGAAAGTAATTTTAAGAGGAAAATGTTTTTTTCTTTTAAACCTAATCGTGTCTTTGGGATAAACATTCAACGTATCCTGAATGAACAACTGTTTCGTTATAATTCGGTTTTCGGTGTAAGTAATGAAAATTCGAACAAACGTTATTTCGGACAAAAAAATTTTCGAGTTTGTGATAGGTTACCGTCACAGACATATATCTAGACCAGGGGTTCCCAAACTTACTTTGTCTACTGCCCACTTTGAGAATAAATTCTTTTTTAGCGCCCCCATTTTTTCACCTTAAAAACCACTATAACTTCAAATTAAATTAATTAATATGAGCTATATTAGCGGAGATTAAACATTCATTCTAAACGAGACTTACTATAACCCGCAAGAGTTAACTTGAGACCTGAGCATTGAATAGAGTTCTAGAATACGACCCTTAGAGGATGGAAAAAAAATAGTCTAAGGATTGAAATAGTCGTTCACTTAAATTTCTAGCAACCAAATGTTGTTTATGAATAACGCAATGTACAGCAAAGACATCTGGAATTTTATTTAAGTGCGCTATGAAGCCTTTATGGCACCCTGTCATAACCGGAGCGCCATCCGTAGCAACTGATGTAATATTTTTCAAGGGAATCTCTTTCTTATCACAAAACTATTCCAATGTATTGAATACGGTTTCGCCTTTGGTATCGGTCTCTAAATTTCTAGCAAACAATAGTTCTTCACATATTTTCTCATCTTTAATAAAACTCATGTAAGACAGCAACAATGCTTCATTAGTTGGTAAAGTGGACTCATCGAGCTGAATTGAGAATTGACTAGTCCTCGGATGATTGCACAATGATTCTTCAATGTTTTCAGCCATTTCATCAATTCGTCTTTGCATAGAATTATTACTCAAAGGAATTTTTCGGAAAATATCTGCGGCCGGTTTATGAAGCACAGTAGTTATTACTTCCTTTATTGCTGGCAAAATTAACTCTTCTCCGATGTTGTGTGGTTTGCCTTTTTGAGTAATTAACAAAGAAATATTGTACAAAGCTCGAAGTCCGTCGTCATCTTGCTTAGCAGCCGCCGAAATGAGTTTTGCTACATTTAGCTGAGTATTATGCTTCTTCTCTAGGTCTTGAAAATATGCTACATTCTTGTCTTTCTTGTCTGGATGCTTTTTATTCAAATGGTCTTGCAGTCTTGGAGGCTTCATTGCTTCATTCGAAAATGTTTTTAGACATAGAAAGCACAAAGGCGATGAGTTTGTGGGATTTTCAATGAATCCGAATTTAATATATTCCGCACAGTATTGCCGTGTCTTCTTTTTTACTTCCGACATTAATTTGCTTTGAGAAATACGTAAGTGTTGAACTTAAGTACTGCTTATCTATTACGCGCGAAACCGCAAATGAAAATAAAATAAATATTACGTTGTTTATATAGGATTGCATAAGCAGCACGCACTTACAGGAATAAGACAAACATGCTTAAACTCGTTTATCTCATTCGACGCTCAATCGTACTCAACAAGTAAGAACAAGTATTCTATGAACCAGCCGATCCATACAGGAATGCACAAATCGGGTTATTTAACAAAAACTGATTGCCCGTGGTCTATTTTCTTCGAAAATTACCTATCCAGGAATACTAATAACTATTAAAATGCGAAACTGTGTCTGTTGCCTTTTTATTTGTTTGTGTCTACTTTCATTTCGAAACGGAGCGACCGATTGACATGATTTTTATTTATTCAATAAACCAGGACAGATATATGAACTACACGGAGAGAAATATCGAACCGAGTTAGTTTGAGCAATCTCTTAATAATCAACTAATATTAGTTGATGTTCACAAGTTGTAGTCGAGAGTCGAGAGCTCAGTCGGTGTCGGTGTCTTCCTAGATGAAATTACAAATCTCCCCCTAAGCCTCTAAACGACCCCATTTTTTTTCTGTTGTTGTCAACATTGTTGATTATACATTTTTTTCTATGCATCCTGAGGAATCGCCAGTAAGATCAGTCTGTACAATCGGAAAAAAGAATCCCACTGGCCAGACCAGTCTTGGTCCGACTTACCAACGGGAAACACTGGAATAATTTAAATACGGGTTCCCTACTTGAGATCGAATGCCGTTTGATCTAACATTAATTGCTCGAAAACGTTTACTCGATTATACATTTGACCTATTATGAATCGTGTGCTCTAAGGTAATTGTAAAAAAATGTGCAAAAAAGTGATTTCTCGAAAAATTTTGTTATGTCGTATTTTGTTTTTTTTATGTATCAAGATAGTTCGGAGACACCACCTGATATCCGCGATAAAGCAACGAACATTGCTTGAACTGATAATAAATTCTGTATAGCCTTTCACAACGCAAAAACAAAAACTTTGAAATGTAAATACAAAATACTACATACATATAGGTAACTAAATTTTTCGAGAAATCACTTTTGGCTGTTGATTGGGGAAAGGAAATGATTGAGGAAATGATCTTTCGAGATTTGATGCATCGATGTGGCAAACCTTAGAGCTCACGATTCATAGGTTAAATGGACAATCGAGCAAACGTTTTCGAGAAATTAATGTTAGACCAAACGGCATTCGATCTCAAGTAGGGAACCCTTTAAATACGTATTAGCAAATGATTGCACTTTCAGTAAATGAAACAAATTACTACTGTACAAATATGCAACAATTTATTACACTTATAAAAATGCTATACATTATACAATTGGGAATACTCTTATCACTTGTGCTTAAAGGAAGTAAGGCGTAGTGTGTTGTGGAGGTACTTCTCGCTCGCTATCTGGGACTGCATGGAACAACTTAGCGTTTCGGTCTGTGACAGTTTTGAATTCCATTATTGAGGCCACGTTACCGCATCGGTAGCAGTAATTGGGAGCTGACCACACTGTCACTAAACGTTTATCGAACATGTATTTGTAACCTGAAAGGTTTAATTATGATAAATATAATCACGTGACGTAATTATAAGACAATTTTGTAATGATTAATAAAACTGGGGATCTACTCTCGATCTCCGTCCGACATCCGTCCGAAACCATTACTGCCAAATAAGCAATACTTGACCAAATGAAAAGACGCGTGATGCGAATGAAGCTTTTAATTTTGTCGAATATTACTTATTTGACAGTAATTGTTTCGGACGGATGTCGGACGGAGATCGAGAGTAGACCCCCAAACTTGCAAGCCAATCGGCTAAAACTAATGCAATTACCCAACAAAACTCTGTGGCTTGTACACTGGCGGGGTTAATGGAGGCAAGATATTTGTTGCGCTCAACTTGTATTAGGACAAGGATTTTATTCTGATGTCTTATGTGTTTCAATGAATTGTGTACCTCACAATGTCAAAAAGTTGTATCAAAATAAATACCTTCATTTACAAGTTGATGTGCCCGACATATAAGATTCAGATTGTTGTAATTCATGAACAGCTCTGTGACATAGCTGCCGAAAAGCCATCCAGCTCCGCGTGGACTTACAGACCTGAGAAACAATATAAAGCGCATATATAGCTTCAAGAAAGAAAGTCACGGGCGACATCGACGAAGTCGATAAGGAAGTATGAAAATTACAATGTAAAAGTACTAATTAACTAACTTCCTCTTTAATTATAAATAATATAATATAATGTTCATTCTCCAACAAATCAGGAGAAGGCAGAGTTAACAGAAGATATACAGCATATAATTTTTAATAGGATGAACAGTACCTAGATGAAATATAGTACCTATGTCATAACATAGTGTTCAGCAGTTTAGAAAGTGGCAGTTTTTATATAACAATCTGCGGCGGAGTGTACAATCTAATCTAAACCCCTTGGAATAATTTTTTTATTAATCGACTTCAAAAACAAAGAGGAGGTTCTCAATTCGACTGTATGTTTTTCTTTTTTATTTTGCATGTATGTTACGCGATAACGCCGGTATTTGTGAACCGATTTTCATGATTCTTTTTTTGTAGGAAAGAGGGTACCTCCATAGTGGTCCCATTTCATTTTGAAGAAAATCATCCACCTCTAAGAGTGGCTGATCACGCATGAACATTCATTTTTATAAATAGCGCCTAAATATTACTTAAGGAGAAATTATTTTAATGGTTGGTTTTGCTATTCTCCAATTCAAGGCGTTTTACTCTCTCAATATACTTTGAGTAGTAAGAACCGATTTTTATTATCTCCTGTGTCAAGTCCTGTATAGTGGCGAACTAGGGGATATTTCAATAAAACTTGGCAAATAGATGTAATTCCACGTAATTTTGAGGTCGGTTTTTTTAGTACTCTGTACTGAGATTATGTCACACCTGATTCCTTTGTATCTATTTGACATGGGAAATTGAAATTTGGCTCAGACAATTAGTCTGTCAAATAACAGCACAAAAAGCACCATATTTGTTACTTATATAAATATATCACTAGGCATTGTTTTACCATGGCAAGGGAACTCTGCAATATTATGGCAGTTTCCCTTGTCAGACTAAACAAAAACTGTCAGATTTTGTATAGGAAACTAAAAGTTGTGCAGTTTGTTTATTTGAAATTAAATGGAAATGTTGTTAACTATGTTATGCCTATGTTAAATAATTTCTTAAGGCAAGCCAATAGTGTTACATGGACCTTCACCATCAACACAAATTCCATATAGTTTACAAAGCTGTCAATAATTATAGCAAAAAATAAAACAGTGGTATTAAAGCTTTGTAATTTTTTTTTTAAATTATTAAGTCAAATGAATGTATTTTCTTTTTTTTTATTTTATACATTAAGGAAATCGAGATCAAGATTAAGAGTATTTATTACCTGTGTGTGGTGTTTGTAAACAGAAAATCTTAACTTTCAAAGTAATCAATATGTTAATAATGTTATACTGACAGTGCAAGTCTTACTTGTGCTTGGCTAGCATTTTTCAATAAATAGTAATATAAAATATAATTTACCACATCTTAACATCAGCTGGGTCTGACCATAGGAGATCACAGAAGGCTCCTTTATGTGGTATTTGCTGGTTCCTATCAATACATCTTATTTGATCTAACATTGATATCTCAGGGGACAAACCACCGTGTACGCAAAGGACCGTTTCATCTATTAACTGTAAATAAAATAAAAAAAATTATACATTGCCAAATTTAATTTTGACCCTGATATTTACAAATGAATTTATTCCACCGACAATACAAAGTTTAATGTTTAAAGTCATCATTAGCACTAACTTTTTATGTCAAATAAAAAGAGGTGGCCTCACAGGTGCACTTAAATTATATATTAATATTTTGAATCAAACAATCTTCAACTTCGATTACCAAAAAAATAATGTGCATTTTTTAAATTTAACTATTCCAATCCAGTTTGGTGAAACTTACAGCAGCAACAGTGAGCAAGTCAAAAACTCTACAGCAATCCTTCCAGGCGTTTGCATTTCCATATTTGTTCAAGCACTCATCGTAGAAACCATACACTTTCGTTATTTGACATGTTTCGTGATTTCCCCGCAATAATACTATTCTGAAATTATAGAGAAAACAAAACACTAAATTAATACAAAAGTCAATGACCTCCTGCACTAGTAAATACATTGCTGCCCATTTAGTCCAAGTGGTATTTGAAGGATTAGATAATGTTGCACATCTACCAACCCCTAGAGGTTCTTACTCATTCTTCTCAAGGGAAACTGCATTACATGTAGCAGAGTTTAATCAATGTAACAATTTCAACAGTAGTTGAACACTTTTTTCCTATATCTATGGTTGAACCCATGATATAAAAGTTGTTAGGTTTTTGCAATTATTACACTTTGGAAATGAAACTATTTTTTTGCAGATTTAAATCGCATATATTTGTTTTTTCAAACAAACCCATCAATTCAGGCAATTTACAGATCTCTTGGTCATGGCTGACTGAGATGGTCAATTCATCATCTGATTGATGTGAAAGAAATAGGTTCATTGCCAGTAAGAGATATAATGTCATAGAATTCCAAGATTAACTTTAATTTTGGAATCCTATGACATATATAAATCTATAGATAACGATTTCAAAAAGGAGATTGATTAATTTGAGAGAGATGTGAGAGATTGATTAACTTTCACACAGTAAAGCGAAAGACGTGACATGACGTGGGATAGCGGTGACATGGGCGAAAACACACAGAGTGCAAGAGCTGGTCAGTTCGTGTGCCCAAGCAGCTCCCGCATTCTGTGTGTTTCACGCTTTAATCAATCTCCTTTGCTCAAAGTGTTATGAAATGATGATATGCATAATTATCTCACTATTAAAATAAAGAAAAGTGTGACTCACCTGTCTGGATACCTAGCCTTAAGTGCCATAAGCAAAGTTAGAGTCTCAAGACTGTAGTATCCTCGGTCTACATAATCCCCCATAAATATGTACTTTGTGTGAGGGACCTGCCCTCCAATATTGAATAACTCCTCGAGGTCATAAAACTGAAAACATAAGCAGTGAGAAATGTTACATGAATCCAGGGAAAACAAATTATATAGAAAATGAACCTTCCAAGCAAGTCATTAACATCTGGCGAGAGTACAGCTTGGCACTAAAAGAGTTTATATGGCAATATGTATTTAAATTGGTTAATCTTATTAGAAATAGATAAAGAATCTACATACTTCTAAAACCACCATTGTGTGCAACTCATTGTATCGAATGTACATTAATTTAAATAAGTGATGATATCGTAAGGTTGGAGTCTCAATATTACTATGTTTAGTCACATTTAAAGTAAAGCATAGCGTTGGAAAATCGCAAAGCGGATAAAAGACGATTTGATGATTACTGTACAAGAACTCGTATATTTCCAAGAACTAAGAAACGTACTAAAACTAGAAAAACATATGAATAGAAAAACTAACTGTTTATATTAATTAATTACCTGACCATGTATGTCTCCGCAAACGGTCACAGGCGTTGTTACCGGTTGAACGTTTGGTTCCTCCAGCAATAGATCACATACAATATTGCACAACTCCCGAAGATCATCTTCAGGAAGATATTTACATCGTTTTGCAATTTCGATCCACTTATCTACGTCGCTCATTTTGAAAACTATCGAGAGGAAAAGGCGTTTTTTTGTTTTCTTTCTAACCCTATCCTATCCCATTCAATTCAATTTTGACTTTGACAAATGACGTGCGCGACAAGTGAGTGACATTGACAGATGGTAGAGTTTCAAAAACTGTTCTTTTCCGGTTAAAAACCGGTTATCGATGATTTTAAGAAACGGTAATCACCTTAAAAGAGTTTCTATAAAATAAACTGAACTATAATCATACTTCGTATCACAAATTAGAAATATATAGTAGCAATTGTATTCGTATTTTTATTAATTCTTCATATTTTATACGAAGGTAGGTGCAGGATCCTACTCGTGCTACCCAAGCTCCTCTAGGAATCTCAGCAGCCTCCTCGGTTTGCTGAAGACTTCGGGGAGCGACCTTGGCACTCCAAGGTACTTCGCCCTGTATTTAGCCACGCCGGAGCACTGTAGTAGGATGTGCGCAGCCGTTTCCTCCCCCTCCATGCACGCTCTGCATAGAGGGGCTGTCTGTGATACCTAAATCGAAAAGGTGTATATTGTATGGACCATGACCCGTTACATACCTACATATACTTCCGTGACCTTAATAAAGTAAATAAAGTGGTTTCAAGAGGGGTTTAGGATAAGAACTCGGCGGAAAATCAATATAGAAATAAAACCACCAGATATGTGTGAAATCTTAAAGAATCTTTAATAGTATTAAAATTTTCAGATACTGATTATACAATTCACCTAATCTCAATCTCTGTTGTAGTCAAAAGTGTAATCGAAGTACGATTGATCAAAGCTCTGTACACGAACATAACCGTCTTCACCTCCTGAGGCGTAGCTCTTACCATCTGGGTGGAATGCCAAACTGTTGATAGGACCAAAGTGGCCTTTAATACGGCCAAATTCTTCTTCGAATACTAAGTGGAAAAAACGAGCGTCAAACTTTCCTTGTCTTGTCGAAGTTGTTGTTACTTCCATAGCATCCTGACCACCACCTAATACAACATGGTCAAGAATTGGGCTGAGAGCAGCAGAATTAACTGGTCTCTCCGTTTTGTATTCTTTGAGAAGCTCTAGCGAGCTAGTGTCAAAAAGTTTGGCAGTTTGGTCTTTCGAGGCAGTGATGAACATTGTACCATCTCGGGACAGTTGCATATCATTGATTTGATGAGTATGCTCCTTAATGGAATGCACTTTCTTGCCAGTCTGAAATTTTTTTATATATTAATATAGTTGTTGTAGTGTGTAATAAATAACATGCAAAATACGATAAATAAAAAAAAAATGAAAAATTTCAATAGTATTTTGCAATGCAATAAAAAAATGCCAGCAATAACAATTGGTAATAATAATATGCTTGTCAATCATATCATTGCATAGTCTCAAACTATATTTCTTGTGCTAAGAGAAATAGAGTAACCCCAAAATATCCAATTTGTGTTTACTTCTTCCAGGAAAATATATATTTAGTAACCAGGCTACTGAGATTATTAAAATGATACAAATTTAGAAACCGAGTAAAGCACCCACCCTAAGATCCCACTGAATAAGGTCTCCAGCTTCATGACCAGTGATGATGGTCTCATCCAGTGTGCCCCACACCATGGAAGTGACCTTTGAGTCTGTAATTTCCCACTTGAGGATTGGTGCCTGATTCGACATAGAGTCATCTATGGTTCTTGTGTCTATGATGAACACCTGAAAAATTAATTAAGATTACTAAAAAACATGCAAAACTAATATGCTAATTAAATTGGACCTAATCATTCTAAATGAAAATAATTACAAATTTTGCTTTTAAGGACAGGTGGGAAGATTTGGCATATTGTTTTATGTCACCTGTGTAAAATAGATATTCATCGATAATTTCTATTTCTTTCTTTTTAATCATTTGACAATGAAAATTAATATCACAAACATAAAATAAAATAAAAACAAGTTAACTCTATGCACACTTAAATTTAATTACCATTTGATATGGTTCTGTTATCAGAAAATACACACAACAAAAAACACACATAGATGATTAGTACTACTTCCAAGTTTCTTAGCACAGTATGATTTCTTTTTATTTCCTTGATATTTTTGAATGGTTATATGCTCCATGGTCATGGGTACACTGGCCAGTGTCCAATTTACAATAATAATAATAGTAAAAATGCTTAGAATTCAGTGGATACAGTGAGTGTGGTTTGTGAAAAAAGTGCAGTGACAATGATAACACCATTAATTGAGATGAAGGTAGTAGACTATACCAAAAGAGGGTAGATAGATAAGCCTGCTCTTAAAGCTGTTGTTTGCCGATGACTAGTCAATCTGAGCCCATGGAGCATGTAACCATTTCAAAATATCTGGACAATAAAATTAAATGTGTTCCGAAGTAAATACCTGTAATTAGTGATAATCATATTTAGTGAATAACCATATAAGTCTAAAATCTTATAATGCTTACATAAATAGATAAATATTTTACTCTTTTGATCAATGCAATTATAAAATATTATCACAATTTTTACAATTTCATTAAAAGAAAGAGTGAAACTATTTTTCTAGATATACATCTGGAAAAATAGTTTCATTTGCTGTGTAACAACCGCAAAAGCCCAAGAACTCAGAACAAGAACAAATAGAAGGAATCTAACATTCTCATATAAAAAAATAAGATGCTACTGATCAGACACAACTGGTTTATTTAAATGGTCAATTAATAAAACTAATAAGAAAACTAGGTAACACCTTTGCACCAAACTAGCTTAGAGAAAACAGAATTGTATACCTCACAAGGATGTTTCATAGCTTTGTCGGTGGTGTAGGCAGCCTGGTATGCACTGTAGCTGAAGTTGCAAGTTCTCACTGATGAGTTAGACTTTATCGTGGCAATGTTTTTTCCAGTCTCTAAGTCCCATAATCTGAAATAATGTAAAATGTCTGTATTAACATGGGCATATTTCTATAAATCAATTTACTATGCATCAATTCAAATACAGACAAGAGAATAACATACATACTTTATTTTCCTTGTGGCTTATTGTAATGCAACACAGGCAAAATATTTTTACCTAAGTGTCAACTTATGGAGATTGAATATTGTTTAATGTATGAGCATCTTTGGACTAAGTAACACTGCTTTTATATTCCAGGGGAGCTGTTCCTCGTTAAACAGACTCCTAACCTGTTAACTTATGAAGCAGCACTACAATAAAATTTTAATTTTACAATGTTATTTTACCTGCAGGAGCTGTCACCACCGCCTGTAATGAGGTTGGTAGTCTGCCAATCTACATCGAGGCACCACACGACACCTCCGTGGCCGTTGAAAGTGCCCAAACGTTCGCCATTCAGAGACCACCACACATTAGGTTTTGAATCCTTCGCAACTGAGAATAACAGATCTCCCTCACGGTTGTATTTGATCTGGGTGATGGCACGCTCGTGCCCTTGCAGCATAAGAGGTTTCTACAATGAAATAATACTGAATTACAAGACGTATTCTGCCGATTATAATTTAAGGAAAATTACGTCACTACTGCACAATATTTTAGATAATACACATTTAATATGACAAGTAATGAGTGTTTGTAGCAATACAAACCATTTTTTATAAATATTTTTCGAGAAAATTAAAGAAAATCACAAAAATTCAGGCGTGACATGTGGCGGTTGCCTATTCTTTTGACACGAGAAGGAAAGAAGGAAGATGGACAGAGTGAGACAACTATTTATACGTTCGGATACACACATATTTACTTTCTATGAAATGGCAACACTTCAGATGAAATCTTGTACCCAACGATAGATGTCGCTATCTATTACAGTTTTAAGTAATTTTTCTGTTTACCTATAGATGGCAGTATTTTAAGCAATGTTATTTTTTGTTTTATTGGGGCTTTTAGAAACAACATTACCTCTTGCGTTGCGTTTCGTCGTAGCAAATGGCTACGCCGATTCGTAGTATTTCTACTTTATTATATCGATACTTCGAGAATACGCGTAAAAGCCAATTTCATCAAGAATGATCTATTGATGCTATTGGCTTAAATTTTCAAGTTCTTCTATCTGTTTAGTCTTTTTAGGTTAGATGTTTTTATTTTTAGATTCGGTTTTAGAATTATTTTTTGTTAAAACTGAACATTTTACGTAAAAATAGCTATAAAAATGAAAAAGGATATGAACCAAAAACATCTATGAGAATGTCTAAGTCTATGAAGATGTCTAAGTTTTTATCTCTTGCTGTTTTAAAAATATTTTGATCGAAAAATCATATTACAAAATTGAAGACTACGTGTTAGATAACGATGTATGGAAAGACGACATGGCTCCGGAATCCACACAAATTTGATTCAAAGTGTATTCCATAGCATTTAAGTTTATTTGAAAAGAGCAATCCCTAGAGTTTCTTGCTCGTTCTTCTCAGGGAGATCAGCGTAGTGAACGAGCAGTAGCTTAAATGTGACGATTTCAAGTGTAAATTTATTTTACCTATGGAATAAATGATCTTTGACCTTGACTTTGACTTTGCAAATTTTATAGTTTGGTTTTTGCGTCTTTTCTTCCCTGAAGTATCGATATATGTAATACCAAACATGGAGAAAAATGAAATTCATAAATCTTTCACATACATTTTATTTTCTTAAATTATTAACCATTGATTTCCAAGAGTACAACTAAAAAACAAATTAAAGTACAAACACGTTATGCATCGCTAACTAAACACAACTGTAGGTAACTTCTCTTGGCAAACCAGTACACGCATTGACTAACGTCCGGCGCACCACTCGAACGAGATAAAATAATGTAGACAGTACAATATTCTGAATTACTATCAAACGCATTGTATTCATAACTTGGTCGAATTAACAGCCATTAACCTTCGGGCACAGCCTCCTTTCAATATCGACTCTACAAATATTGCAGCTATAAAATAAATCTGCAAAAACAGTCCTTTCTGTTAATTAAAACTCTCGGATTATTAAAATTCTGATGACTAAATAAAATTTATATAAACGTCGATAGGTACCTATATCTACCGATAAAATTTGTTATAGAGTCGCTACGCAAGATTTTATATGCCTTGTTGTTACTGCCTATATGCCTTAAAGTTTCCGTGGGTTGTTATCAATAATTTGTTAACTAAGTGTAAGTTAGGTATTTATTTTATCGTTTCTATTTTTGACTTGAACAAAAAGGCATACATAATCACTAGGAGGCCAATAACAGCCATCATTTTTATGTGACTTGTTAGTAAGTAAGTATAAACATAGAACCCTATGGTATCAATAATACTTAAACGTACTAGTCCTGAAAGCGATAAGTCTTGAAATTGAGCGGACCCAACTAAACACGTGAGAGCACATTCAATCTTACGGAGAGTTTTTTGCAAGTAAATTGTATAAAGACATGAAAGATTGATTTTTGAATAAAAATTTGTTTACATTAAAGTATTTTCCTGTTCAAAAATCGAACTTAAGGCGTAATTTGTATGTAGATTACTCTGAAATTGTAATATTTCTTAATAAATTCTACGAAAATGTATCGTTAGTCATAATTCTATAGTGCATGGTCTTACTCAGAGGCAAAATGTGATTTTGTGAAATTAATTGTAACTACATATCGAGTGCCTTCCCAACTGTTTTCTATTTCAAAATGTACACTTTGTAACACAAATATAACAAACAAGCTGAACATTACAATGACTGTTATAACAAAATTGATAAAGTTACTTGAATAAAGTTATATAACTCGTACAATATTGTATCTGCTAGAGTTCAAATATCCACCTGTGACACGTAATACATACAACAAACACTCGTCAACGTTTCCAAATATATATTCTCTTACGGTTTACACTCGATTTATCCCGTATCTAATTTAATACAACTTCTAATGTACACAATTTCAACCCTTTAATTTACCCGAAATACATGAATTGCTATTATACACAACAAACCTTACACTACGAATGTGAAAATATTTCGTCACAATACCTTAGTTGTAATTATTTTATTCTTTTATGGACTGTAAAGAAACCGTGAAATGCATAAATTTTTTGTTATATCCTTATAAATATATTAACATTATTATGTTTACATTACTACATCAGTCAAAATATTTCTGCGGTATTATCTACTGTCCGACGTTGGAATTACTTGTGTTCCGAATTAAAAACAACATTTTGTAGTTCTGCTTTTAGATTATATTGGAACTAGTTTAATGATAAGCGAAAGGACAAATAATCAAGAAGTGGGTGCGCACAGTATCTCGAATGTGCCACGTCGTCGGATCTATCACGCGATCACATCCTTAGGGAAATCAATGCAGTACAGCAAGCATAAGCTAATCTATTAAATTCTATACCGGTCACTTTCAGACTGTTTAGATTTTTACATAGTATTGTACATCTACAACGTTTCGTTTCAAATAAATGGGATAAAAGGCGAAGAAGCAAAAACCTAGGTCCAGCAACAAATTTAGGAGAGCAACGAAAAGCGAGTGGCCACGTACTTGTATTTACAATATTAATGTATAGCCTCTTTGTGGGCTCTTCGTGCACTATTCTAATTAGGTACTCGCCAGTAATGCGCCAATTTCATTGTTTAATTACTAACAATACTATCCTTTGTACAACGCCAATAGCTCATTTACTCTACCTCCGTTTTGATACACTGCCGTGAGTGTCGCCTTAACAATACGCTACGCTACTAACAAAATACATAAGTGTCAATATTACTTACATACATGTTATGATTTACATATTAGTAGAACGATGCACGATTCGCGATTCATAGTTATATTAACGATTCCGTCATTACATTGTTTAAAAATCTATAAAGGCATCTTGACCTCAGACTTTAGATTTGACACCTTCGCGCTGATGGTGTTTTAAGAACTAATTAATTTATAGTTAAGTTATGTTCGAAATGAATAAATAAATATAGTTACCAATTGTCGTGACGGCCTATCCAGAGAAGGCAGGCCGAGTGAGACCAACTAAAACGGAGCGCGATCGCGTCTGGTTACCCTCTGCATTAGGCGAGTCTAGGTATTCGGAACGCGCGCTCGTTTCCTTTCACTATCACTGCTCGATTATCACATTTAACTAATAATTTCACGAACGTCGTTTCTTAATTTAAACATACATAATAACAAAATTAATTGCAAACTATTTATTTAGGCATTTGATGGCAGTATCATAACTGGTTTTATTCCAACTAATTTACAATGTACAAAACACATAACGCTATACGCACTTAACTAATGGTAACACGATGAGGAACGGACGCGTCGCTCATTCAGGTAACAGGATTTTCTAATCTTATTTATAAAAAGTTTATAATAATCAATTGTATAGATAGACTTGCATTGCTTTGTAATAATAATAAGACGTCGAATTCGATTGATTATTTAAAAATACTGGCAATTTCTTTTTATGGAGCAACAGTCGAGAGACATTTTGAAGTCGATTGCCAGTGTAGTAGCTGCAGCACCGACGAATTATCGCACTCAAAGAGTGGTCATTAAGGGCCAGTAGCAATAACGACAATCAACGGTAACCAGTGTGAGGCGTAGCATTGTCACTACGCTGACATCAACTGACACTTACAAGGCATAACCATTCAATTAACTAGAACCTAAGTCCCTAGAACGAACTTTTTGGTTGTAATTACTTAATTTTAAAGGCGCACACCGCCCCTAGATCTAGTGGTAACTGTTCACCGTTGCTGGAACGTTTATTACAATTTAACATTAACGATTAATACGAGAATTACCATAACGGCAATAGCTTTAGAAGGCAGTGATTACTGACAGTGTTTAGTTTAGAAAGTCTATTTTACTTATAATATTAGTATAATTCCAGACTTTAGTACCTATCTATAATGTAAGTATTAGAATGAAGAGTTGTGAAATATGGTGATGTCTAATATTCGCGAGAAATTACTTTTGCATTTATGATATTATTCGAAAATAGCCACTTGTGCAAATTAAAATAATAAAAGTTTTCATTCGAATAGAAGAATTTGAACATGAGAAAAGAGAATATGCCTCTCATTAGTGCATACACAAGACCAAATAATCTTTAGATAATACTAATGTAGAACAATAATCATAAAGTGTAGAATGAAAAATAAATGTGATGAAACGTACAGGTAAATTACAATTCACGTGTCGTAAGAAATGATTAATTGAGCATAATTACAATTGAACACATTAAAGGAAGCAAAGTACCGGTAAAGATCGAAGCACCTACACACGTAAAGATAACCGTAATTAATATACTCGTAGAAATGCAACAAGAATGTGCTTTAGTACCGCCTGATGATCGGCGTCGGCGAAGAACGCGGCCTTGGCTAGCGGCACCAGCACCTAAGTCTAGTTAGACCAGAACCAGAAGTGTAAAGGAGAAATATATGCACAAGAGTCATGCGAAACATTGGCAATTAAAATGCATAAATTGTGACTACAAAAACGAGACGCTAGCTGCGCCGTTATGTTAGTGGATTGTATAAACAATAGAGTTGTATACAAGCAGTCTTGGTAAACACTGAGAGTAGGTACTTAGTGCTACTTACGCTAGCTACGAACGAGTCATATAAAATTAAATTAAAATTCTCCATTTAATAATTACACGCCCAGTTGTAATGTACTGGTTAATTCTACACGATATAAAATGCAAACTAAAACAGCATATTTCATTCACATGAAACTATTCTGTCTAAAACAACATCTTATCTGTATTGTAAAAGTATTCTATATTTACACAAATAATATATTATGCGATTTTTTTCGACTGACAATTTTAAATATTAACATAATAATATATATTATTCTATTTAATTTTAAGTAGTATACACTACCACGTATAAAACACGCATTCAAGTCCCTGGTACCTACAACTATTTATTAATAAATCAGTCTGTCAATTGGGACGTTTTATTTCCTCTATTAAACAATAAACCAATACACACATCGACTCAACAAAGGTATAAAGTACCGCACTGTCCTCGCACTATGTCACTGCGGCGGAGTAGTAACATCAAGTAACATGCACTGGTAAAGATGTTCAGAGGCAGAGATCGGGTGCGCTCGCGCCAGCCGGCGGCCTGATATGGTCCGCGGGTCGGCTACGGCTGCAGCAGTAGGAACATGAGGCATGTCAAAGGCGCGGGCGCAGACTTAAGCCCCGGCTCTCACGACGAGACGAGGGTGAGATGCGAACGTGGGCGAGGTGTCCGCCTCTCGTACATCGAGAACTAAACGCCCTGCTGTGCCATATACTATCTGATTTCCGCTGAATTCAGCACGAAAGGTACATAGAACATCTTGCTCTCTAATAGCAGATTTGCGGCTGCTTGTATCTGTGAAATAAGAAGATATATTCATCCCATTCAAATTACAGGGTTTCATTCTCTGTCGCTATTTTGTTCTCTACTGAACGAGGAAAGCCTTTTAACCTTTTTGTATTGATCGTACAAACGAGAGACATAAAATGGCAGATTTACGGAATCGAAAGCTCTACAACTTTCTATTGAAACTGTAACTGGTTTGCTTTCTACATCGGTCTTTATTTGTTATCGTTGTTTATGTAAGTGCCAAGAGCGCGGGTAAAAGGACTGGAGTGCTTCAAATAGTACAAATCAATGAGGATTAATGTTAAATTGTAGTTCGAGTTATCGCCACATTGACTACACTGCGCCATTGGTACTGGTCAAGGAAATGAACTGCACTGTCATCTTGACTATCTGTAGATAAAGTAACCATAGACCTATTTATAGGTAGAAACAAAAGCCGTTCTAATGGCTATTAAATTTGCTTTTATCGTACAGCTTTGAGTTTAGATCACTCTTTGTCAAATCGTTTTTAATCTTTGTCAATGTCTATACGTTCTCTATCGAGAACAAAATAAATATAACAATCCAATAATAATACATGAGAAGAACCAATAATAATACAGAAATATACCACGTATAGAGCAATTATATTATAGGTAGTAATATTATAAATCGCTTAATGTACCTCTGGGATCCTGGCGAAGAGCTCTTGCAAGCGACCGGGGTGGTGGGGGGCGGCGTGCTCCAGGTAGCTCCTGAGCACTTGCACATATCGCTCCTGGATGCTCTCTAGCTCTACCTCTGCAAACATACAAATACCAACATTAGTCGTAAGCTAGTAAAACTATAACTTGGTGAGTGTAGAGAATGTAAAATAGTTATTAAGATATAGAATAGCAATACAAATATCGTGCCTAATGTGCGGAATTATGTCGAGATTATTTCTAAAACATACTGAAGTATGAAGGAAGTTTTCACCAAACAACGCTCAGATTTTCCTAGCCATGATAACGACGGAGCCGTTCATTGCTACTTGCCACTAGATGGCACTGTACGGCGCACAGAGCGGCGGCCACCGCGCGGCGTGACGTCACACGCTCAGTAGGTCACTGCGATACCGGGGCAACGACCGCGGCTAGCCGTTGACCTCCGCAGCGCTGCGTCCTCACGCTCGCGCTGTCTCGCTCCCTCGCGCGCGCTTTTCCACGGTATTGTTGGTGCGAGTGTTACATGTGCGCGCTTTTATGACTTCGTTGCTAATGTGTTGACGTCATTTATTCTGTTATATATAGTGATTCTGCAGTTTTTGGGCGTCTAAACAAGTGCCTTTAAATAGATTTCTTCTAGTAATAACTTTCCATAACGCGATTGATATTTTATGACCTTACTTTATCGATGTGATTGAGAATCTAGTTCTCATTCAGTAATAACCGAACACTGACAATCCGTTCATCTACCGTGTTTCTAATATTCGTTAAAAAAAGTTTTCCACATGAACTATGTGCGCACGCTGCACGAGTGTACGTTACGTAAATACAAGAGACGCAGCGCAGGCGCAGCGGTACTCGGTATAATCTGCGCATTTTCCTGCGCCCCCGCACCCTGCACCCGCGCAGCGCGCAAAAGAGAAAGTGCGCCTTCCGCGTTGCGCTTTCCGCTCCGAGAGTGAAATGCTGTCCCGTTGCACTGACGTAACTCTATTATACGTATTGTGCTATACCACGCTTTATTATGTCGATTGTCTTTTTATTACTTTTAGTAATTATATAAAACACATTGTTATTATATACATAGTTTTATTTAATGTAACATTTCAGGGAATATACGAGTAATAAAATGTATTGATTTTACATCTCACATTTAAAATACTTTGAATAGTTTGTCGACTTGCACCCCGTGTTCCTTATCGCTGAGACCAAATTGCAAGGTTGTAAAATGTATTACCCGCTTTTAAGCATTTATACTATCTATAAAGATTTTACGAAGATATTACTATACTTATAAATGTTGCTATAGACACAATACGTACTTCTAATTAGATAGTATTATGGCTTCCGCTATCTATCTAATATACCGATAAATTTATTGCACAATACAAAATAGTACACGCATATTGGCCAATAGAGGCTCATTAAATCTAGGAGTATCGAGTCAGGAGTTGGTAGTACGCATGCGCGGAACGATTGCGCAAACGCTTTCCATTTCACTGTGCGCACTTGCCTTCGTAAGTTCCATGTTAAGTTCACCACTTTCTTTTAATGAATATTCGTAATGCACTTTTTTTTAAGAAATTTTTATTTGTTTTACTTGTGTGTTGAGGAAGTCAATGATTCAGAGAATACAGCTAGATGCTATCAATGCCATTATTTAACTTGATAAATCTCTGCTCAAAATATATCGTATTTTCAACTGTTTTCTTCGATTACATACGAACTGAATTTTCAACTATTTTTAGATTAAGATTTGAAAAAATAGTTTCATTTTCAATGTATAATAATCGCGAAAACCTAAGAACTCGACATTGTACCTTATTTATTTTTATGTTTTCAAGTGATGAGACGACGCAGTGCTACTCAGAGCTTTAAATCGCAAAAAACTGACGGGTAATGCCACTGCGCCCGTCACCATGACACATAAGTTGACAAGTCCCACGTGCCTATAATTTCACTTGCACCCTCTTCAAAACCGGAATACAGTAATGCTCACATTACTGCCTAGCGGCAGAAATAGGTAAGATCAGAATACTTCCCTGGACGAAGTATTTGACAAAGAATTCTACAGCTACTAAATAAACTAGGGAACTAGTTCTTTGTCTGTTATTTGCATGATAATGATTTACCTTTACAATCTTAAGGCACTTTATTAAGGTTAAACCATAGGTAAGGATTTAGCCTAAAAGGTACATTAAATACGTAGAATGTAGCTATTATAGTACTCACAAGAATAAAGTATAGCTAGATGTACTTTCGACTATTTCTACGATCAACATGGACTTAAGTAGGTTATCGAACGCAGTTGTACCGTGAAGGCAATTCCATTTACAACTCACTTCATTAATATTGATTTATTTTTCTTACTTTATTTTTGAAATCCCAGAAGATTTAGAAGGCTTTATCTTTTCAAACATTGTCGCTAATATTATAAATGCGAAAGTGAATTTCTCTGCTCCGTTACACGCCTAAATCGCTGAACCAATATTGATGAATTTTCATATAGAGAAACATGGGGCCTTGATGTAGGACATAGGCTCCTTTTTGTCACAAAAAATAATCTTAAAAGGGGTGCAATAAGTGACGTAAGTTTATATGGAAAAAAATAAAACTATGGAAATTAGTATAGAAGTATGTAGGCTTCTCAAATTACTATTCTACGCAGACCATGTCGTGGGTACTGGCTAGTAATTGAATATATATATATATATATATATATATATATATATACACACACACACATATATATATATGTAAATTGTTTTGTAACTGTACAATATTAACAGTATTGTGTGTGTTTGTCAGTGCCAAACAACCACACCAATTGCTTGGTCTCAAACTTGGGACTTCCCTGTACAGTACAGACCCACTATGAGTACCAGAGCAACGAAATCACTCCGGGGCACTACCAAGGAATCGAGCCCGGGACCTCCACATCCAATGCCACAGCGCAAGATGTTGGGCTACTGAGGTCGAAAAATTTGGCACAATATGTGCCGTCCACTAACTAAAACGCCACTAAAAAAACGAGTAGTCAACTATCCTTTTTAAATAGAAAAAGATAGAGCACAAACTTCTCTTTTAAAAGCAGTTAAAATTAGTTAACGTGTCCAATTTATCGAAACTTACCCTAACGATGCATTGCTGAAAATTTCAATATTCTAAAACTGGATGATTTTTTATGACATCGCAAAAAAATATTTTGTCACTTTGCTGCGTTTTAGTTAGCGGACGGCGGATATGTACAAATTTCTTTATAATAATAATCTTTATAATAATAAATCTTAATAATATTAAATAATAATCAAAGGTTACGAAAAAGGTTTGTATGAGTATTTATGCATTAAAATACATTTGTAACAGTCTTGTGTCCATACTAGGAATCAACAAGTGTGACAGATCTCTACAATCTTAAGAGTTATATTTTTATTATGTCCATAAATAAACACGTATTACACATTGTTATCTAATATAACTGTATAAATTCTCAACATTATTTTAGCATGTTTCTAGAAACAATTTGTACTGTCGCCAGTATGTTATACCATTTCAGCGTAATATAGCTACGTTGTACGCAGTGAAAATAATTTTCAAACATGGCGTGCGCGCGAGTCGCGACCTACTTACAAGTACGCACGATAACGCAGGATGTCATAGTTTCCCTATGCTCCAACTGCGCGAGCGCTCTATTCTAACTTTAGATTGTTTTTGCAACACACTGATGTACATTCTAACTGGCAGTTATTTGCGTTTTGCAATTCATTATCTTAATTATCTATTTGTTATAAACAAGAAAATTAATGTAACGTTACAAATAAAATTACCTGTGACGACTTATAAAACTTCTGTATTCGCAATGGGAATGTTTGCAAGTCAACAATGCAGTCATTAAGTAAAATTAATTACTAAATCTGTATACATTGAGGGTTACAAAAACAATTTTGAAATCGCAATTTGTTCGAATCGCGTCCGCTTTTAATCGTAAAGTTGGAGTCTGCGAACTTTCGATTTATCGTTATCGTGTGCTCCGAGAGAAATTATCGGCGTATCCCGAGTTGGTCCTAATGATTTCGCAAGCAGACTGCGACTGTGTCACTAGTACAATGAGTCTTAGTAAAATTACCAATTCATCTACTTATGCATTATCGAATCTAGATTTCTTTCTAATTCCTTTTTAAAATCGATAAAGTCAATCGTTGTAAAGTTTATTGAAAAGTTAATTTTCTGAGTTGCTTGTACTAAGTTGCTTGCAGGAATAATAAAACGAAACATGCATTTCTGCATCGGTTAAGTGAACGTTAGAAAACCTTCGAATCGTTCGTAGAAGCAATTTACCTACTTCGAAAGCAACCGTAGGTGAACTTAAGTAACGTAATGACACGTCAACTAGGATGCTTAGTGCTTGCGTAACAAAACTGACCTACACAAACGTAGCGAACACTGTATTGGCATTGCGATAAAGATTGTAATAACTTCAGAAGTGAGTCAGTATTATACATAACATTTATTTGTTCATATTATATACATAATATTTATTTGATATATTATTATTATTATTTAAAAACAGGTGCTTTAAAATTTATTTGTGCCTGTGTTTAAAACTAGTGTACTAATTTTGATCAACACCGCATTAGTAAACGAGACTGAGTTATTCTCATATCTACGGCCCGATGCTAGTGCAATGCAGAAAATGTCGCATTTACTAATATCGTGGTTACATTGTCTTCGGATACGGCAAGACTTTAATAATGACCAAGACCTTATTTTGACATTGAAATGACATACATGAAGTTATTTCAACCAATTTAATTTAAAAAAATAACATAACTTCTGATTTCAACATAACACTAACTTTATCGACTATGTTTTTTAATTATACCAAGTGACGGGACGAACAAATCTCGCGCCTAGTAAGCGTCACGCTTATCCGTGACAGTTGCAGTGCCACTCAGAACTTAAAGCGCAAAGATCTGAGGGAAACTGTCATTGCTCCTGTCATCCTGAGACATAAGTTGACAAGTGCCATGTGCCATTTCATCAACACCCTTACCCTTTAAAACCGGAACGCAGTAATGCTCACATTACCTACTGCTTGACGGTAGAAATAGGTAATGTGGCAGTACTTCTATGGACGAACTCTTCCATAAAGAGTTCTACTGCTATTAGATTATGTTTGAAATACTATTGATTATAAACGGACTTGCACTAATAATGATTTCAAAATTTATACCAGGAAAAAGATGTTTTGAGACAATAGAAATGTTTGTGACATTTTCTGCAGGCTTTGAGGTATATGACTTTATTTCGAAAATGAGACACTGCAGCAATATACTAAAGATTATCTCCACTCAAACAGATTTGTATTATAGCGCTCAAGGGGAAAGTGAAGTATAACTAAGTGTATTTTGTAGAGCCGAGCGCGTCTTTAGGATGCCTAGTAGTTGTGTAACGTAACTGACCTATATGAATCGCGAGTGCACCCTGCTGCTCTAACTGGATTATTGCAGGACGTTGACATCTACTGGCTTAGTACAGTGTACATCAAAGGCACTCAAGTTACTTACGATTTGAAATCATTTAATATAAGTGTGTGATAGTTTTATTTTAATTTTGAAGCCAACTTTACACTTGTATGTTTTTTCAAATAAGTGTAACACAAAAATAACACATATTAACATTTAGTCACGTTTGATACTAGGCTGGATGTAAACTTACAGGGAATTATTGTAGAAGTTTTTTTTTTCAGTATTGTAAAATTTTAATTTTTCTTTAAACATATTTTTCTTTCAAAGACATTACTAGGGTCAAAGTGCGTAGGGAAAGAAAACACTTGAGTTTGAATGCTGTTTAGCCAAAATGCCAATGCAAACATACATGATGTTACATATATTTACGGTCACAATGAACAAGGTTATTAATGTGCAAAACAATGAAAATTATATGCAACAAAATGTTTTGCTTATGAAAACTAGGAAGCTTTAGCTTCGTTGCACAGCCCAAATTGGACGGCCTTAATGAGTGCGGTGAAAGGTTATCCACTATCAATTAACACCATTTTAAGTTGATCCATTAAGGGTCGTGAAATTATGTCAATTCATCATTTAAACAAAGCCAGCAAGCCGTCGTGGAAGTATTTTAGTAAGGTTGGTCAAAGTTCAAAGTGATTGTCATTTTTCATATCAGTAGAGTGTATTATTAATTTAATAAGCAATTATTCATATTATTCGATACATTTAATTTCTATAATATAAAATATAAAAGAAAATCTCGAACTTTTCACTTTTTTAGTAATGTGTGTGTGTGTGTGTGTGTTAGAGAAGTTACGTTGAGTATGAACTTCAAAATGTATGTCATTGGGTTTCATATTTAGTTCTCGAAAATGGTATAAAGTAGTACTCACCTTGATTCAGCAGTATGTAGACCTTCAGACACACATATTCCTCCATACGGAGCTGGATTCGGCGGAATACGCAGGTTATCTGTGTCATCTTCTCAACCACCAATCCCACGTCTAGCCGCAGTTGCTCCAGTGTGATTGGTCGCCCCATCAGGGAGGTTAGGCAGCTCTGCAGCGTCCGCAGGTTTGCATTGACCTACATAAAAAACGGAAGAGAATTTGAATTATGAATTTGGAAAATATTAAATGATATATTTTGAATGGAATTTAAAATGACGAAATATAGGTATACGAAATAAATGTTAATGTAGTTACTTATTGGGTTCAACACTTATTTTACAACATCGTATAATTAAGAAAATGTTGCCTTGCGATTTCCTTGTAATAAATCTATAAATAGTACATAAATCAATATATTTATGTAATATAGAATATGTAAGCAAATAGGAAATGCTCTAGACAATGAAAAATGCTTTTTGTGTAACTATCGTCGTTACCGTGAATTTACGTAACACGCGCAATTCGCGGGCCGTGATTGTGCACTACTAAGTGTACCACGCCAGTGCCACTTATATGATGCAATATTTTTATTTACCAACTAAAAATATCCTATCTTCCAATTGTGACGATAAATAACAGAAATAAATTAATTCAACGTGTATAACAATTGTTATATAGTAATTTATTAATGTGTATCATGTACACAACTCGACTAGTTCGTAATATTGGAATCTATTTATATGCGTCGGATCAACTTGCGGACAATACAGTGTCCTGGTTATTACTATACTTTACGATTCTAATAAAGCGAGTTATGCAGCAATTGTGCGTCCGAGTGCAGCTAGTTCTATGCCAGTCGCGACTTTCTATATTGCGCAAGCGCCGATGCAGATCACGTAACTACTCCGCCGTATGTGGCGGAAGTCGCTGCGGCGAAATAGCAAATGTGACCCTATCATTTCTATATTTTATTGAATTTTATAGAAAGATAAAAGTTAGTTGAAAATAACAAGGAGTCACTCACCTCTTGCATAAAGTCGTGTTCATGATCTGAAGAAGGAGGCGCGTGCGCGTGCTTTCCATGCATTGCTTGGTACGCCGCCGTCGTCAGTACTGAGATCTCATGCCACTTTTCCATTAACAATTTCGAATGTATTTCCATAGGAATTTCCATAATGAAGGGCAATTTCTTTGTCCAAGCAACCATTTTATGTACTATGGAGTCACCGATCTTGCAAAGCTTGTCTCCGATCTCCGACGTGTCGTGGAGCAAATCCGGTAAATGGCGTACTGTCGCGATGTCTTCCATAGCGTCACAGTCGATCAGCGCTCTGATCATGTGTAAGGCCCTTTCAAGAGGTATCGCTCGATCTCGAGATGACGAGACTGCGCTTTCTAACCGTGCTCTAAGATGGACAACCTGTAAAAAATATTTCATTAGAGGTTACATTCTGTTAATACCGCATATATATACACACTAATATATGTGCTTCAGATAAGTTACCTCGCTTGGATTTGTGAGTGCAGTTTTTAAGATGGTTCCATTGACAAGGTGTTGTGGTAGAGGTGGTAATGGATCTTTAGGTTTCTCAGGTGGTGACGCTCGACTGGTCGTGGTTGCTGCCTTATTTGCTTTTTTGTGCTTCTTGTATTTCACCTTATACAGGTTGTAGACTGCACCACTGTTGCGTCCGCCTGGCATTCGGTCTTCTCGAACAGCTGTAAAAAACAAAGATAATAAGCGCAATACCATCAAATTAGATGTACTAACACCTTATAAGACTAATACGTACCTTGTAAAACCATGCCCTGCTCTATACATTTCTTGAACCGGCAATACTGGCATCTATTCCGTTGCGCTTTCGTAATTTCACAGCCACCGTCAGCGACACACGTGTACACTCTACGGTTTTGTACAGTCCGTTTAAAGAAACCTTTGCAACCTTCACATGTTATAATGCCATAATGAAGTCCCGTGGCTTTGTCTTCACAGATCATGCAGATCATAGGTTGGTCATCCTCGTCGCGATCAGCTTCAGGAGCATATGTCCGCAGCTCCGGCCTCGGCAGAGCCAGCGAACTGGCACCCGCAACACCCACTGCTCCTGATACGCCTGCCGCTTGAGTAAGGTTCAGAGCGTGAAGCTGTTGTTGCGCTGGTAGTTGCGAAACATCCCCAGCCCACAGCAACTCCATATTCAGAGGAGGACCTCGTGGCCGCCGAAGCTCCCCACCTAGATTCAGAAGTAATCTCGCTGCGGATTCCTCACTACAGGTAGCCGGATCTGGGGTAGGCGGAGTTGGTGTGTGTGACGCGCTGGCTGCCGGTTCTCCACCAGGATTGGGCGCCGGCAAAGTCCAAAACATCGTTCTAACTCCACCCGATTCACCCATGATAACAGCAGGTGCTCCTCGCCATTGGGTGGACCCTCTGGCGCCAGTTTTAGATTCAAGTGGTTGCGGTGGGAAATGCCCACCGATAAGCTCCGGCTTAACGCCATTGATACAGGCGGTAGGTGGCCAGGGCCCTGGCGATAGTGATGAATGCGATCCTGGCGGGGGTGGGGCGATAGGACGCGGCCTGTACGGCTGAGGAGGTTCAGGAGGCGCTCCTTCGACTTTCACGGAGGATATTTGAGAAGGTGATGTAGCATCATTTTTACAACTTGCGGGAGAGTTTTCCGACTTGATTGGAGCAGGTGCACCCTCGAACTTAATGACGGAGTAGGGCGGCGCAGAACGGATGACGGTGGGGTGGCAGGCCGGTGACGGCGATGGCGATCCGCCGCCGTCGAATACGGGCGGCGGGTGCGGCGGCGTGTTGCAGCCCGCCTCTGCCATGCGCGGAGACGGCGGGCCTGGGTCCGGCGACGACGTGCTCGTGTCGGCGGCCGACTCGCCTGTGGGCACACGCTCAAAATTAACAAAAGCTAGACGACTTCTCAATTCCGCGCTAAGGAAAAAGAGCACCGTGGACAAATAGAAACTAGGTGAAATGTGAACGACCGTGCAGCAGCTAGAGGCGCGGAGCGCGGCGGCGCGGGGACGCGACACTGCACTTCCCGACGCCGCCGACTAGATTAGCCGGTTGCGTCACAATATGAACACTACGGTCCCAGCCAAATAGAAAATCTCATTTTGTCAATTGTGCAAATGATAAACAGTTTAGATTATTAAGACAAAAGTCTGTATATCCCCGTAGAACCTTAGTTCACTTTCAATTTAAAATTGATTCACTGTTGACAGTCTACCAAAGACATGTAGGTATGTTATAAAGGTAATTTTATATAACTATCCGGAATAGAAGTGGAAAATGTAGGAAGCGTGGTGTCGGCACGGGTCGCAACGGGCGAGCGAGATGCGAACGGCGTTTGCGGAGAAAGTGAAAGCTGCGCGGGCGCAGATGGGGCGCCCGGAAGCATAGCGCAGCGCCCGCGCACAGCACAAAGGCTTGTTGGTCCACTATTTCATGAACACCATTATTATTTTTAGAACTATTCTTATCTGTTATGTTACAATTTATGCAACTAGAAAACAAATACCTATTAATATGGCCAACAAAAGGATGCGTGAAGAATCTTTACAAAATTCATGGGAAATAATGTGGCCTCCACATGCATTTAAGCAATTCATCTTGTTTATTTTTTAATAGCTTCATTGATGAAAAACTATTATCCTTACAACGTTGTGTTTGTAAGAAAGAACCATGTAAACTGTAATCGGGAAAAATATCAATCAGCATTTTGTAGAACAAACAGCAACATGTAACATTTTTCACTTAAATTAATCAGAAACTTTACCGACTTTTTATTACTAAATCCATAGGCGTAGTTACCCTCTCACTCGACGTCGCTTACATCTCAACACTGTGGATGACAGTCCATGGACTTCAATAATTTTGCTTCATCACAAAACACGAGAAAATGAATTCAAATCGAGGTGTCATCAATGGTTAAAGGATAAAGGGCGCGCTGGCGCAAATTTTGTTTACGCGGGGAAAAGTCGCGAAGAAAGTTTTCCACTGGCAGCAGCGGCGCGACGGCGGCGGGCGCTCGCAGTGAGCCCGACCTACCGCACGAGCGGCAACCGCGCCCCGCTCCGCGCTCCCCGCGGCGCTTCCCGGTCCCTCCCTCCAGCACTATTAGGTCACTCAGCCGGCCGCGGCCGTGCGTGCCCGCTGCAACCGCACAATGACTAGTGCAGCGCGTGCACCGCTCTCGCTTCGAGGACGATCTCTATTTCACTCCGCGTCCTTTGCCACATCATTGGTGGGGACCGATCTTTCTAGCCGCATGTTGCAATTCTTAGGTTCTAGGTGCGCTATTTCACAGCTAGGTACGTATATCTATGTCCCGTTCTGATTGCCAGTTGTAGTTTGTAGACATTTCGTTACTGACCGACATTTACGCGTTTTTCCTACTAAGTAAACAACACGAGGAAAATGTTTTAACTCAGTAACGATTTGAACATGATATAACATTATGTCAGAAAGTGCGATAACCTATGGCATATACATATATTTTAACATGCAATTCAGGAAAATGAAAGAAGGCTTTGGTTCAGACAGAAACAATGAAGACAGATACGCAAGCTCTATTTCGGAGCGGTATCGCGACTGCAGTCGAAGGTCGCGCGCGGTCACCGACACAGCGGTAACTGGGTCACACCCCCACCCCCGCCGCCCCGCGACACCCCGTCGCGCTCGCAACCCCCGGCCACGTGTTGCCGTCGCATCTCTACGGCAAAGCTGATCCTCATTAATTTAGTGACGGAAAATTCCATGGGGGTTCAGATTGAAATTAAATTAATCTGTATATAACTGACTGAGATTGATTGTTTTCCTACGAGTACCTTTATTTTGAACGTACCAGGAAGACATTTAACGACTAACTTGTATTCAAGTATTTTCGCAATTATTTATTTATATATTCGAAATATTTAGTGCTCATACTTTTATTTACGTAAGTAATAAAATATATTTATGTACTGTTTTTGTTCTTGTGTGTGAGCAATAAAGACTATATCTATATAAATAACATAACCTAACCTAACTACCAACATGTACACCTGGAGTTTCCCAAGTGCGCAGTAATTTCTTTTACAGTAGTTTGTTATCAGAAGACCTTCGGGCGTTTTAAGTTTGTACAACTCTATAAAAAGTATACAGAACTGTGTAGTTTTATTATTTTTCGTCACGGAAATTGCTTATCTCGAAGACGGAACACACATTATTGCAAAACGTCGGTCATTTGACTTTTGCCAAATTTTGACTGACTATACAGTCAGTTCAGTTAAATATAAAACTAGTATTTCCATACGGAAATACTAGTTTTATATTGAACTGCCACCGTGGCCGAACAGTCACCATACTTAACTGCCGCGCAGAGGTCCTGGTTGTGATTCCAGAAGCGGGAGAAATATTTGAATGGCCTACATTTATTTTTCTCGTGAGGTTGGGTGTAACTTGTGGTTGTCTATGTGATATGTGTGGGTGTACATGGCACCCGCGACACAGGGTTTCCCTAGTGCGGGGCTATGAATATGTGCGTTATATTTAGCGTCATAAGCGATAGTCACTCTGATCTATATACGTAACTGAATATATACGTATTGTCATTGAGTAGTTTCTTGAATCAAGGGTAAAACTTAATAGTTTTACCCTTGATTCAAGAAACTACTGGGTAATCGCTAGTCTGGGATTACCCAGACTAGCGAGATCTCGCAACTTTTGGCGGTGAAAGAACCGCGAGACTTGGTTTCGTTTTTTTGGTTACTATTCCCTAGTTTAATATATATATATTATAACTAGTCCCTAGTTTAATATATCGCTTCGAAAGCGGTTGCCCCGACCGTCTAACCAGAAATACAGCTCAAATAGGTCGTAAAAATAATATATTACCTATTGTGGAAAATCGATTAAATCAACGTCTTCGAATTTTCCTTGAATTGAATTATTTATACTACGCTGCGAGTAAATTGCAATGAGAATGTGTGTAATTTTACAGGCAGTTTTTTTTTCACATTTTTTATCGTTTCACTCTTCAGCGTGGAAAAGACGTCATGTAGTCAATAATTCCAAATAAAATTAATAACATACGTTATTAATAAATACGCAGCGGTTGTACTACAAAACTGTTAACAGTTTCATAACAGTTTTGCATAATTAATGGAGTGAACTGATTTGGTTGACTTTTCATGATATACCTAAAATAGTGAATCTCAATTTTTTTACACAACTGTGGGTGTAGTTGTTTTCCAATTTCACGATGCTAAACAATATGTGTTTTATACAGCATATCATAAAAACAAATGCCAAACAGTTGCATTTTGCAAGCTGCATGCGAGGGGCGCGTCAATGTGACGCCGCCGATGAGGTGAGGAGCGCGGCAGCGTCACGAGGCGGCCAGCGTCACACCCCCACGTGCCCGGTGACGCACGTGACGCCCCACCGCGTAACGTACTCGTAGCTAACTGTTATCTGGATTTATACATTACGTAACACGATTCAGTAATGCCCGTTCTATTTTAGAAGATCGTATTTTGAGAGTTTATGCCTCATATCGATTTTAGAACTGAAAACGTTGATCGAACGTCAGTTGCAACTTATCGACACCTTGAACTTCTAAAAACCTGGCATACTAGTTTGTGTTATATTACGGCTCGTTTCGTCATTAAAGCATCTTAATTTATAAAGTCATACTAGTTACAAAAGATAACGCTCATCTATCTTACGGAAGGTAAAGTTGCGGCGCGCGGGTGCGTTACGTTATGTGGTATGACTGAACATCTTTCTCTCATGAAATATTCATGAGTTCACAATGGCATAATTACGCCATTTTATTGCTCTCACCTCTCGGGTAAACTTTCTTCGTCGATGCTGTGTCACATTGCGTCATTCGGCTAGAATGTTATTGCAAAAAATTTGCATACATTAAAGTTTATTTTGAATTGTTAGGAATAGCGTTAATTGATAGTGTGACAAATTGAGATTGTTTGAATATTTTATCGTTCATTTGCCAAATACTCCTCTTCATAGGATTTTAAAAAGAATAATAACATTGTATAAAGTTTCTATTTATAGAAAAAAAATTTAAACATTCAAATTCCATCGAAATTATTCATGAAAAATGTGGAAGTAAAAATAGGCATCACTGTAGAATTCAGAATAAAATACTAGAACTCCTAGAAACTTTGAGTAATAAACATTATTTCGACCATTGCCATTAACGCACGCAGTATAAAATGTCGAAATAATATATAAATTGCTGCTATTCAAAGCATGCAATTTTAAACCGACTTGTTGGACGAGATCCGCGACGAGTAAGAGGCATTTTTCGGTGAAAGTTACGGCATTTCTTAGAACCAGTCGCGAGTCTCTCACACGCTTCGTGTTATGAATATTATACAACTTTCCGTCATTTGACGGCGATTATAAAATATTCTAATTCGTTTCCGAATTTCATATTATGTAATTTAAAAACCGACATTTGATCAATCGATGCAATTTATACGTAGACACGTAATTTTTGTTCCTATATAATTTCATGAACTTTTTTCGCATTTGGTGGGACTTTTTTAGCTACTGAATTTATATTTTGGATTTTATAGCTAAGAACGAGAGCAAATAAAGATCTATAAACTTATTAGTGACTTAAAAATTTAACGACGTTTTCGTGTGAAATATCGCCAATTTGTAAACAACGTAACGTGTCGTAATAAATGGTTAGTATTAGTCAACGTTTACTTTCGTACGTTTTGATAACCGGCTTTTTGGGTCTTTGCCCTCATGATATCTATATAACCTGTTTGTTTTGTTTAAGATGTTCACGTGACTAAAATACCTTTACCTATGTTAAACTTTTTGATGAAAAGAATACGAAAAATGTTTACAAAATGACATTAAACATGACAGGCTATTTCCCGTTTTATGACTTTTCTTTAAGATGCGATTTTTATAGAACGGAAAAGTCATGCAACTGGTGGTAAGCGACAGGCCTGTTCATAGCATTTGCATGGCCACTTACAGCTTAAATGCATAGATGTGAGGGGCACTGCCACTGCGCCCGTCACCCTGAGACATAAGTTGGCAAGTCCCATGTGCCTGTAAATTTACCAGCACCATTAACCCTTCAAAACAGGAACACAGTAATGCTCTCATCACTACTGCTTGGCGGTAGAAATAGGTAAGGTAAGTAGTACTTCCCTGGACGAACTGTTTCACAAGGAGCTCTACTGCTACTCTCAAGGAGTTTTACTACGACTTGTTTGAAGTAAACAGTTTCTCTACGTACTTTTAACATATTGTTCCCTGCAAATAACTAGTGTAATATGTGTATACTTGTTTTTTTCAAACAAAGCAACGTTTCAGGCCCTTCACATGTCGTATGGTCACGACTGACTGTACGGGTACATACTAAGCTTGAAACCAATGTCTTAAGAGTGAAACGAGTTAGAATGAAAACGAAATTACATTTCTGAGTAATGAGGTAAGGCAGGCGATGTGATGGCGTTGAAAGCGACAACTCCGTGAGCTGAGTGTCAAGCAGAGGCGTGTTAAGAATCTACAATCGCTCCTGACCTTATGCTGAGTTGGGCTGGTTTACTAGCCACTTTATATAATTCTAAGAAGTACCGATATTTTATTACGTCGTTAAAATAATTTACTATGGTAATATTATCTTTTGCGAAACATGTATCAGGTTATACGGTGTTACGTACTTATTTTAAGTAAGTATGTTTCAAAGAAAATACATAATGTTTAAAAATCTTAAGTTGTCATAATGATTTAGCGTGGGTAATACGAAATGAGTATAGATTTATAGTAGATCTATATAGAGTGAGATCATGAAATTGAACATTTACAGAACAAACATACTTTCTCGTTATTTCGATATAGACCAATCTGTTCGTATCCATTAACAATATAGCAGCCATAATACTTAACCAGATAGAATTGGTTTATTGCCTTTTAAGTATCATTGCGAACAATCAGCAAGGAAGAGAATTTTTAGATCAATT